AATTATCTATCCTTAAATGGCTTATTTAAAAAATTGATTCTAAAACACAAATAATTGGTATTTGTTTAAACATTTTGGATACTTCAATAAATCACTTATTTTTCTTTATATAATTTAATAGTCTTACACATAAATTTTAAATCTGTCTCAAAATTATGTGCTGCTATTGTACAATCTAAGATGGCGGTATACAGAGAATCTACCTTAAAAGAATCAACAGGTGCGGATCAAGGATCTGGAAAAATTGGGCCCTGGCAAGCCTACGTTTATAAGTGAAAAATGTGTATGCATTTCTTATAAATGTAGCTCCATAAGGTAGGGGCCGGTTCACCTGCTCCCCATTGATCCGTATCTGATCATGTTCAAATAAACTCATCATATATTACAATTTTGTACACCAGACGTGCGTTTCGTCTACAAATAACCCACAAGTGATGCTCGAATCAAAACATATACAGGTAAAAGATCAAATAAAGTACGAAGTTAAAAAGCATTGCGGACTCGAAATTCCAAAAGGTTTTAGCTAAATATAGATTAGTTAATCTTTTCCTGAGGAAGCAAGTCTAAAAGAGTACATCACCAAAAAAAAAAGTAAAATCACGACAAATGTTAAATATTTCGGATAACTAATATCCTTCATCAGTAAGATGTCAAATGATTCTTATCTTGACATGTGGTAGTCAAACTGATATAATAATCTTGATCGTTATACAAATTATCACGAATCAATACGCTGGTAAATTTGTTCAATATTGATGTTTGGGAGGAGGAATAAATTCCTTAAAACTGTAAGAGTCCTGTACTGAAGCAAGTGATGGTAGGGACTCATTCAATGTTTTTTTCATTAATGCCATCTGGGGAAACTGTCCTTAACTTTATTATCCAAAAACTTTCACGAGCAAGTCTGTCGGCCCTTGACCAACCCTCGTTGTGGTCTATGATAGTGATGATAAGGTTTTTGAGATCAGCTTGGGCGTGCCCAGGTGGTTTCAAATGACGACTTACGAGGAGGTCGGGCTTGCAGGTGTAGTCACTTCGATGACCATTCATGCGTTTGTTGAATGGCTGTTCTGTCTCGCCAACATACTGCATGCCACATCGACACTGACGAAAGTATACAACATTCTGGGTTTTGCAAGTTAAATTGCAATATATAGTGTATACGGACCCAGTGGAGTGGCAAGTAAATGTTTGAGTATTCAGTATTTGCTTACCGTTGTGCAAATATAATCATATGGCTTGCTTATTTATTATTATAATTATTGTCCGGTAATTAGATGATCCTTGGCTTAATGAAGCAAAAGACTTAACTGGTATATTCTGATTTTCCCTTAACCACCCGTTATGAATACGAGTATAGTCTAATATATAAGTCCAAAGATTTGCACAACGGTAAGTAGATGTTTGAGTATGCAGTATTTGTTTACCGTTGTGCAAATCTTTAGACTTATATATTTTTTCCTTATCTGCGCTGTATCGTCTATTCCGGTACATATTAAATTTGCTGGTTGGTCATTTTTATAGATTTCTATATATATATATATAATCCCGCCAAGGGAAGAACAAAAATTTGCTTCCGCAAATTGCAGATTTACCATTGTTGTGCTGATATGTAGAGTAATTATGGTATATATATATATATGTGTGTATTTTAATCTTTGTTCTATCTATATTTGACTGACCTTTATAAATATACAAACATCTAACATGTTGTTTCAACAGCAACCCTTAACGGCGCTTTCTCATTCAAGAAACTAGTACTTATGTACTTGCATTGAGTTTTTAAACAATTTGTATAGTAAATGTTATGAAATATGTTACTAGTATTGCACTGAAACAAAGATTGAAATTCCCTAGGGGTCAAACTGACAGTGATAATAATGCATTAGGTACATCGTTGGATCTGGTGCTCTGATGTTTGTTATACAAGTGAGAGGTTTAGCTAGCTATAAAACCAGGTTTAATCCATCATTGTTCACATAAGGAAATGCCTATACTAAGCCAGGAACATGAGCATTGTTTTCCATTTGTGTGGTGTGTTTTATCTTATGATTTTGCCATTTTGAGAAGGAACTTTCCGCTTTGAATTTTCCTTTGAGTTCGGAATTTTTTTTTTACTCTTTTGTACAATAGAATAGGATATTTTTATTTTCCAAATTACTGGGCTCTTAAACAGAACGAAATCAGTTACAATTGATGGACATACATGTAATTGATAATTACAACAATAAACAGAACAGTGTGTTTGTAAATCTTTGTTTAGATTTAAAAAAATAAATCACTGTATTTAATTCTCCAAAAGCTTCTTTCAACAATGGTCAGTACATTACAAACTAAGGAATAACAGTACTTGGGTTGAAGAGACGTAGCCGTTTATAGGTTAGTTGACGGTCGTCAATATAATTTACTGTCGGATCCAGTATGACGGATATTTGCAACCGTCGAATTTCGCGAAATGTCATCAACAATTCTGGTGTATTAACGTTATTACACATTATGACGTTATCAGATTAAAAATAAAAGCTATTCTTTTACTTGTACGATTCAAATTTGATGGTGTTTTGAAGGAGGTGCGGTTTTCGATTATATTTTATAATTCAAACATCAAATTATTTCATAAAGCTAATTTGGCGGCTCAATCCATAATTTTGACATCTCCATTATGGATTTGAAATATAATAAGTCAGTATAGCATATTTACCATGACACTATAATAAGGTCAGGACAACACCAATAACGGCAAAATAACCAAGTTTTATGTTTAAACCAATACCTCGCATACATCATACATACATAGGAAAACAGCACTACATACAAAACAAATTTTACTCATATAAGCATACACACGGCAAAACTGCAAGTTGGCAAATTAAACACGTAATACAACGAAATCACTAATCAAAGCAAAACAATTAATATAAATCTTAAACCCATACGTCAAAGATAACCATAGTGATGATTGATTGGTGATTGCTTTACGCCGCATCAGCAACAACAAGGTAGTCGAGATCCATTTAGTATTTAGGATCAGTTTTGTTGTAATTAATCTTCTTTATTTATAAGCGTGATTAAATAATTACAAGCTGACAATAAAACGCGAGTAAAAGTAAAATAATTGTTAAGTATAAGGATAACAACATCCTTACAAAATAAACAAAAAATATGTATTCCACCACAAATTATGTTTGTTTTCTTTACTTTGGTATCAGTAGGTTGTGCAATACAAATAGTAAGGTCAAATTTACACCACAGGTAGATCGATCACCCAACGTTATTCATTATTCTATTGTATAAGTGTAGAGTCTATACTAATATAATATCACCAGCGTGTAATTTAATACTTTGAAATCAGTCTATTGACCTACAAATGTTTATCGGTATGGAAATACAGAGAGGACAATCCCGACGATCCTAGTGTTATGGGTCCGTTGTTTAACCCCTTCCCATTGTATTTGTACTATATTATCAAGAGATTAAGTTTTATGTCAAATAATATATGTTCATTTCTGTATCATATACCATTTGAGGTTGATTTGTCGAGTGTATCGATATTTTTGGTGAACCTTTGTCATATACCAAATCAGATTTCTATAATATTTTATTAGCTCAATTCGTTTAATTTGCCCAAATCTAAATATATAAGTATATTTCAGATTTTGGGAAAATATGATTATTTTACTTTTGAAGTTCATACGGTTCGTGTGTGTTACTTTGTCTCCTTAATCGATTTACGAGATTTGAGCTTTCTTTATTTTAAAAGTTTGTGTTTATCAAGTAATGTTAGACCACTGTCCAAGGTTAATGGTAGGCAATGATCGAAAACCAACGTGTTGAACCATATAAGATTTTTGTTTTGTGTCTCTCCCTTGTCATTAGACAATAATTCGGTGGTTGCCGTTGGTTACTGTCTGTCATATATGTTTTTTCGTAAAATGTTTTGAGTATAAATCAGATCAAGCTGTTAGCTTTTTTTACTTTGAAAATGTTTCACATTTTGTCATTCCGGGACCGTTGTAGCATACTACCAAGTATAGGTTTTCCTACATGTTGAACACCGTAAGGAGACTAGTATGTGTTTCCATCTACGTCATGGGGTCTCTGGTGGACTATTGTGTCATTTGGAATTGAACTACTTATCCTTATTTTTTATTAACTGCTCAAACGAGTTATTATTGGCACCTTTTCCTTCTATGCATTCCATGTAAATGTGTTAAGTAGAGCTCTCAAAAAAATTGTATAAAGTATATACATGTATTTATATATATTTAAGTTCTGAAATTTTCCATACTGTCATTTGACCTTTTGAATGATATAATGCTATACTAGAAAAGTTTATGTATTGTTAAGTTATGTGTAAAGATGCGTCATTGAGCACACAGTAGCAAATACTTTTTTTTTATTTGAAATTCAAAATATCAAACTTAACCCACCTGGGATAGTTGATTTGTCTCAATATACTCGTTTAAAAAAAAGATGCATGTAAAATTGATTTTATATAGTAGGTAAACATAAGTATATGCCTTATTTTTAAAAAGTGATCGTTAAACATATGATACCTATTCCAATACGCAATGATAGCTTCATTGATGATTTGTTTTGCAGCATCATAATTCTGACATGTTTAGTCAGTTAACGTTCACCTTTATATAATAGATTGTAAAAAGTAAACTAACAAAAATACCGAACTCCAAGGAAAACTCAAAACGGAAAGTCCCTTAACAAATGACAAAATCAAAAGCTCATACACTTCAAACGAATGGAAAACAAATGTCATATTCCTGACTTGGTACGGGCATTTCCTTGTGTAGAAATGGTGGATTAAACCTGTCGTTAAAGCTAGCTAAACCTCCCATTTGTATGACAGTCGCATAAAATTTCATATTATTGACAACAATATGTGAACAAAACAAACAAACATAATAGGTGAAAATGTCAAAATTGGGGTACAGCAGTGAACATTGTGTTATAATCTTAATCACTATATAAACCAAACAACTATGTCAACAAAGTAAAACAAAATGGCATGCATAACTAAGCATGTCTTCGTCGTTCTTTTTTATTTTATTTTCGTCAAAATCATATATTACTATTCAAACTTCAATATATAACAAGGGCAAATGTAGTATCTTTTTAAATCTGTTCTCAAACAGATCTAATAAAAAACATAGCATTATAATATGAATCAGGCAACTATGTCTCACCAGAAACAAATATTTTTTTGGAAAAAGAAATAACATATAATTAAAGATTTGTTCCCGCGTTTCTTGTTTTGTTGATTAGCGGCCTCGTTGAAATATGTCTTTTTGCATTCATAAGGTTTGCTTAAATCCATCAGTTAAAATTCATAGAAAACATAGTTTAATTATCAATGGTTAAATGTTCTAAAACAATATTGTTCAACATGTTCAATGTTGATCAGGTTAATCTTGTTTGTTAATATTTTCAAAATCCTATCACCATTCTGTCATCTTGTGTGAGCTGGTAGCAAACGATACACATTGAAAAGCTGCATATAATACAACAAAATGAATTATTGCTGAAAAAGAGAAAGGAACTAAAAATGACGTATCAATAAACAATTGAAATATCTGTGAAATTTTAAATATTTGATCAGCTCTTAAATTTAACATCAAATATAAAAGCGCTCTCATTAGCAGTGGTACGAACTACCATTCTGTTTTCTTTTTTGTCAAAGTCAAGTGATATTGGTGATTCAAGTGAATCAAAACTTGTCAGTATATCCTTATGATGTCTGCCATCAGGGGAAATGACCACAATTCTATCACTATCAGCATTAGCCAAATAAACATTTCCCTTCGAATCTGTTGCCATGCCGTAAATATCTTTATAGCCTTCCTTGTCAAATTCCCATTCAATATTACCGTTTAAATCACAACAAAACAACGTGAATCCGTCACAAAAGAAAAACCTGTCTCCATCTACTGTTAAATAGCCAAGATCAACACCAGGATTTGGAAAGGTGCGCAACACATGACCATGCAGATCCATTACTAATATATCACTAGCATCAACATATAATTTATCTTCGCTGCATGATATTCCATAACATTCACCGCTGGTTGGAATTGTCCGTACAACGGTGTCGTTTGATATATCTATAATCTGTATGACTTGGTATCTTGTACATCCTACTGCCACGGTGTCATTGTTTACTCCTGTTATATATCTTGGTCGGTAATCCATGTCCATATAACGGATATCATTATGTTCTACCATGCTGATAATTAACCTGTCATTGATGTAATCAGGAAACACTACATTAAAGCCTACGAATGCACAGTCTATAATTTCAAAGTACTCGTTATCGTGGCATTCAAAGTTTATTTGTCGGCGCAAAGTAACAGAAGAAGGAAAGATATTTATGGGAATCTGAGCTTGAGTGTAGGTTTCCACTTTTCCAGCAGTAGTTTCTAAAAACTCAAAGAAAAAGAAGATGTGATCAGGCAAATTTTGACACACAATATATCAAAAAGTAGTACAGATCAAGAAATATTATTCAGATGTTCTAAATTAAAATATTCACAATGACTTAATACATTTGATGAAAATCTGCCAAAATTGTCAAAATGTCCATATTTCGAGATGTTGAAAAAGATATTCAATGACAGATAAAAAGAAATATTTCTTCCTTACGTATATTCATCTACATGAAAGGAGACGGTATGACGTGGCCACCTTGAATTTGAAAATCAAAAAGTTTTTTCAGAGAGAATTGAAAAATAAACTGGGGAATGTGCCAAGGAGACAACAACCCGATCAAAGAGCAGAAAACAGCCCAAGGCCACCAATGAGTCTTCAACACAGCGAGAAAATCCCGCACCTGGAGGTGTTGATGATACATTGGTCTGTTGGAAATTAGTATTTTCATTTTTGAATTTTGTCTAATTTATTGGTATAAGGGCTTCAAACGTTTTGCATTGAGTTCAAAAATAAAAAAAATCTTTAAAAAAGTTTTACCCAAAATGAAGTTATGAGCAAAGGCTTTACCCAAAATGTAGGTATGAGCAAAGGCTTTACCAAAAATGTAGGTATGAGCAAAGGCTTTACCCAATATGTAAGTATGATTTGATTTTCTGATTTTTCTGTGTTTTAACGCCACTTTTAAGCCCAGTTTTTGGGCTATTTCTAGGCGGCCAGTTTTTATTGGTGGAGGAAGCCGGAGTGCCATGAGAAAACTACCGACCTTCGATAGGAAAACTGACAATCCTAGTCAATTAAGATTGGAGTCGAGTGCACCCGCACGACCGGGGTTCGAACTCACAACATCAGTGTCGACTGGCGAGTGATTACAGCAGTAACTACTTAGACCACTCGTCCACCGAGGCCCCAATAATATGTAGCTATGAGCAAAGGCTTTAGCAAAAAAAAGTACTTCTCTTACAAGATGTATTAAAATGTGATGTTAATGTGACTGTGTAAAACATCTTTTTGTGTAAGGAGTTGACTCGTATTTATTTTCTCCAACAAGTATGCACGAATATGCCCTTTTAGCTCAAATACGCACTTTTCATGACGTCATAGTGAAATAAAAAGGGACCTTTCTGCAGTTAACTTTACAGAATTTAGCATCTTGTTCTTTTATCAATAAAACTAACATGGTTTTGAAAGGCATGAATAAGTTTTCTATTTGCACACGTTGCAGTTTCAAGGGCTATACAAAAGCTCCTATCATACGTCTATTTGTCTGTGTATTAAGCTTTGTGTTCCTATTCAATCGATTGATCTAATTTGATTCATTTTGCAAGAAAGCCGGGATATAATTTTGCCACTTTTGCACTCAAATTCTTTATGAAAGATCGTATAATGTCTTATATTTTACTTTAGATAGGTTTAATTTGGGATTTTATTAATAGGTTCTGTTGATGTCAATGCCCAAGATTAAGTCTAAAGCGTACTTGATGAAGGTTGTTCTAGAGACTGCGCGCCATAAGCTCCACACAAAAGTTGATTTTGGTTGTTACTTATGCATTATACATCTATGGTAACGATAAACGGTGTTGTGTAGCTCTAGTTGTTTGCGATTGTATGCGTGTAATACTTCTACTAGAGGATTATACAAATATAACCATTATACATTCTTTACGTTCATATCCCTAGACGGGAGACTGTAGTCGAGTGTCTGTTGAAGTTGTTGTTGGATATAAGTGTACTTATTTTCATGCTTTTTACGTAAATCAGACTGTCGGTTGTCCTATGTCAATTTTATATTATTCAAATGTTTGATAATTCGGGGACAAATTATAAATTTCCACACTGTAAAGGATAAACTTGTCATTTTATGACTTACGGGTGACTTTCTGTTTTTTCATCATGCTTCTTTGTTTGTTTTAATCTTATTTCGTATGTATTTCTCTTTCGAAATCATACAAACCCTCATGTTCGATATACAGGCAAATGAAAAATTCTGAAAGCAATCGCAACCGGAAAGTACTAACATCAATGAATGAACTGTTGTAAACATTTTGTATGAAAATAACTACGTTTTTATTGTGTATAATATTTAAATACGACAGTAAGGGAAAGATAAAATGAAATAATCACCTTTAATATCAGTCGGTTGTCCTGTTTCTGCTGCACTTGTTTCAAAAGATGCCATTACCTGAAATTTTAAGGGAAAAACATAATATCAGTAGATTTTTACTTTATGCTGTTTACACTACAAGATTATAACTTTTAACATACGATAATGTAGTAGATATACATGAGGCAAAATATTATCAATAGTTAATAACAGTTTATTCTGTCTTATTGACCACATGTATATAAAGATGTCTTACATGTGTACCTTATGTGACCATATATACAGTAGGTCCTCCAATATTTTTTGCGTTTAAAATTACTTGAAAATATTGACCATCACAAAGGCATTAAATTATGATTCTACTTCAGAAAAAGCTCTTTTTTGTTCACTACTTTTGAAAGAGGTAACACAATACTAATTAATGTTGTTAATATAAATAAAATGTCTTCATAAGACTCGCCATTGATGATCAAATCAAATCAAAACAATTGGAAGGCCACATCAAATACAAAACCTGAAGAGCGTTTATACATTTTTTTCACAAAATGAGAAAAAAAGAAAAATATTTTTTAGTGTGTCCCCTTTATGTGGACTTAATAGAACAACAGGCGAAATAAGAATACACAACTTACTCAGATAGGCATACAATGCAATATTTCAAGCCAGGAGAGTATATTTAACTGTAATTATAATATGGTAAGGACCATTGAGACAAAATGGCAAAATTGTATTATTAAACTAAAGCACTAACATCATACACAAATAGGAAAACAGCACTCCATACAAAACGAATTAAATCTACTCACATATGCATACACAATGAAACATTACATGTTAGCAAATTGAATTAAACCCCAATACTACGAAAAGATTACTAATCCTCTAAATTATTTTTTTCTCAAAAGCGTAATGAAGTTAGTTATCAGTGAAACGCGAGTAAAAGAAAGATACTGTTATATATAATGATAACAATATACTTACAAAAACAAACAAATAAATAAAGTACTCCGATACAAATTATGTGTGGTTTATTTACCTGAGTGTCAGTAGATTGTGCAATACAAATAGTAAGGACACATTTAAATGTCACAGGTGAATCAATCATCCAGCACCATTGATTATTCTATAGTGTAATGTAGAATTTATATACACGTTGTTGGTAAACATCAAGATGATATCATAATTCAATAATTTGATGGAATATCAGTCAATCGTTATGCATTTGTATGTAGGTATATAAATAATATCTTGAACATTTGCAGGTATTTCTCGTGTGAATTGTTTTCCATGTTGTCATATTGGGACCGTTTGTGGTTTACTATACAGCATTGGTGTTGAAACTCCTTACATCTACCGCATTTGGTTTATATAGTATAATATATAGCGGTTGATAGGAATTTCTTTGGCAATCATATCCCATCTTCTATTTTTATATACCAGTTATATTTTGTCTATTGTCACAACCTGCTCATTTTCAGAAATCATTTTTTTACATTATCATCCATATGTTTGATAAGGTTGATTTTTTTTGCTAACCGATAGCTCTGCAAGAGTTATGTTACGTTTTGTCAAGTCTTAAATAAACGCTGATAAATATCAAAAATAAAAAAATAAAAAATGCCTTCTTATTCTTTTAAAATTTCAAGAAAGTCATTTTACCTTATTTTCAGTCTGCCATCTTGTTATGTTTGTAACTGCATTTACGAATATCAGTTTAAGCCAATTGATTTATATCGATATTGTAGTATCGATGGATCAATTTTTATGACAATGATTTTACGATTAGTGCCGTTCATTTGATTTTTTGTAAATTCACAAACGGTTAAGCTTAAATAAGTACTGTGTGAAGTTTATTTGTCAATAAATTAAAATACCGATATGTTTTTGATAAATTGTTTGTATTTTGTTTATGATAAATTTGCAAAACGTATACTAGAGATTAACAGAAAACAATATGAATATGTAACTTAAAGTAGTGTTTTTCGCTAGAGAATGATCAACATTTCAAAATAAATTTATGTTCAAGTAAAGAATTTATTCATAATGTTCCACCTCAATGTAAGACTACAAATGCATCCAAAAAATTTATGCACATTTCGCGAAAAGGCTAATATTCTACAAAATGTCCATGAAAATTGAAAGCGCAGTTGAAACAGTAGTTAAAACATGATTTATTAAGTGCTTGCAAATGGACATGATGAAAACACTTTCGTGTAAGTGAGGGAAGAATTATATATCAGGGTAAATCAACGCAGACTGCAGTATCATCTCTTGTAAATTTGCTCTGAATGAAATATTTCACTACTGAAATAAAGTATTTCTTAATTTCTTCGGGATGTGCTTTTAATTACTTTTTTTCTCTTTTTGAGCAGAAAAAATATATAAATACACATATAATGGGAGGTAAGATGAATAAGGTGCCAGCATTCAGATTGCAGGACCAAATTTCCCAGCCGGAAGTTGAAAAAGACATAATTTGTATGTAATGTAATATAACCTCAATTTGTATTATTTCACTTTCAAAATGACAATTTCATTAATGTGCTAGTCGGTAATTAGTATGAAGGTTCAAAGCAAATATTAATTGATTTGCAGCATTATAGTACCGACATGTGAAGTCGGCGTAAGTGTTTCGCTACGTACATTACTGAAATTAATGAATAAAAGGGATTGGGATGCAGTATGTAAATATGTCTTGATCGTCTTGGTATATTTTAGTCAACATGAAATCCACAAACTACTATCTAAACATAACAATAGCAAAGCTAGTATATCATTATTCATTTTCATCTCAAAAACCCATTTTTAGGATTTAAGTCATTGATCCTTTGAATTAACGTATTCTTAAAGGTTATCAATTTAACACCGCAATGCAATCTTTAAATATCGTTTTTATCAGTATTAATATTGATGTTGTTTTTGATAAATTAAATAATAACTATATATATATTGCTATATATGTACAGTAACTGATGATCCTACATCCTGTCGATACTGTTTACCTATTTTTTGGCATTGCACCAGATCTTGCGTTTCTCAGATTGTTCATAACATCCTTACACTAAATCGATTGGATGTGTATTGATTGATACTTTACTCTGGGAAAACATGGTTTATTTATGAGTTGTAACTTGATGTCAGTAACACCAAGTACCCATATATCGGTGATTTGTGTCTATTGTTTTTTATTTTAGTTGGCTTTTTTGTGCTTCGAAACCATTTACTGAAGTAAGGCATGTGCAACTGATTTGTATAGTGTGTTCTAACTTTGTTCTGTAACACCACTGTCCCGGGTTATACGGGGGGTTGAACGCTTGCAAACATGATTTACCCCGCCACATTCTGTATGTGCCTGTCCCAAGTAAGAATCTTGTATTCAGTGGTTGTCGTAGGAACCTGTTTGTCAACATATATGTTTTTCGTATATTTTATTGTTTAATATGGGCCGTTAGTTTCTCGTTTGAATCGTTTCTCATTTTTCACATTTTCCATGTCGGGGCCTTTTATAGCTTACTATACGGTATGGGTTTTTGTCATTGTTGAAAGCCACCGTACGGTGACCTTGGATAGTTGTCTCATTGGCAATCATTCCACATCTTCTTATTTTTCTCCTCAAGACGTTAGCAACTACAAAATTGGATTGGCATCACCTAATTAAATGTCTCTAAAACACAAATAGCATACTAATTACGATTTGTTTATGCGTAATTGTGTTCTTGGTTTGCTGTCTCATTGAAATAAATTACCTTCATTCCTTTTCATTCATACACGTTGATAAAAGCTTTCAGTTAAACATTATATGAATATAAAAATAAGGAGATGAGGTATGATTGCCAATGAGACAACTATCCTCCAAAGTTCAAATGAAGTTGATGTAAGCACTTATAGGCAACCGTACGGCCTTCAACAAAGAAAAAAACCCATACCGTATAGTCGGCTACAAAAGGCTCCGACATGAAAAATATGAAACAATTCAATTAAGAAAACTAACGGCCTAACCTGGTTAATCTTTAGAAGTTAAAGTATGCTAAAACTACAGTTCGAAGTGTCTCGGGTAAATCTTTCTTGAACGATATTATTAAAAACCTATGCATGTTACCAATAGACACACATTGACAAGCTGCATATTACCAAGTATTCATTACATCATCCCCTCCCCCCCCCCCCCCCAAAAAAAAAAACAACATGACTAAGAAATAACTGTTTGAACTGTTTGAAATAAATGCGACATTTTATATCCATTTCGATGAATGTACACCATCAAATCAACCATAATATGTAACATCAAATTGTATGCACTAGTATTCCCAGTGGTACGAACAACCATTAGGTTTTTCTTTTTGTCAAAGTCAAGTGATATTGGTGATTCAAGAGAATCAAAGTCAGTCAGAATATCCTTATGATGACTACCATCAGGGGAAATAACCACAATTCTATCACTATCAACATTAGCCAAATAAACATTTCCCTTCGAATCTGTTGCCATGCCGTAAATATCCTTATAGCCTTCCCATTTAACATTACCGTTTAGATCACAACAAAATAACGTGAATGCGTCACAAAAGAAAAACCTGTCTCCGTCTACTGTTAAATAGCCGAGATCAACACCAGGACTTGGAAAGGTGCGCAATACATGACCATATAGATCCATTACTTCTATATCACTAGCATCAACATATAATTTATCTTCGCTGTATGATATTCCAACACATTCACTGCTGGTTGGAATTGTCCGTACAACGGTGTCTTTTGATATATCTATAATCTGTATGACAAAGTGTCTTGTACAGGCTACTGCCAAGGAGTTATAATTTACTGCTGTTATATATCTTGGGTAGTAATCCATGTCCATATGACGGATATCATTACTGTCTACCGTGCTGATAATTAACCTGGAACTGTTGTAATCAGGAAACACTACGTTATTGCCTACGAAGGCACTGTCTATGATTTCAAAGTATTCGTCTTCCTCGTATTCAAAGTTTATTTGTCGGCGCAAAGTAACAGAAGAAGGAAAATTATTTATAGGAATCTGAGCTTGTGTGAATGTTTCCTCTGTTTCTGTAGTAATTTCTAAAAAAAAAGAAAGATAAAGAAGATGTGATCAGGCCATTTTAGACCTCCTTAATGCAATATATAAAAAAGTATTATAGATCATCAAATATTATGCAGATGTTCCTTCAAACATTAGATTTTCACATAATTTTTGAAAAATGAAATCTTCAAAAATACTTATACATATAAAAAACTGCAAAAATTGTCCAAATGCTATCGTTCGGCATGTTTAAAGAATTATTCAGATAATATATAGTTTTACTTCTATATAGTACGTATATTCCTCTACATAAAAAATAAACGTTTGATGAGGCCACTTTTTGGCACCTTGAATTATAAAAATCAAAAAGAAATGTAAATGAACCAAATAACATCGTTCAGATGTATATAAAACATTGGTCTGTCGGACATCAGTATATATATATATTCGAATTTTGTCTTAACGATTCGCATTAGGGTTTCAAGACTTCTTGCAATAAGTTTAAAATTGCAATAACTGTCAAAAACAGCCTCATTTGGGGTATTGTCATGAATATTAGGGTAGGAGGAAAGACGTTACTAAAAAAATATGTCGCTACAAAATTTATTTAAAAAAAGGATGCTAATGTGTATAAAATATATTTTCGTTTCAGGCCTTGACTCATGTTAATTTTGAGCTATAGCGTGAATAGGACCTTTTAATTCAAATAAGACATATCTATGACGTCATATTGAGATAAGAACTAACCACTCTGCACTGAAGTTTCCAGATTATAGCAAATGGTTCATTTATCAATAAAACTAACATAATTTTAAAGGGTTTGAATACGTTTACGATTTTTGCAATTTCAGGGGCCAAATATTAGCTCCTAGCATATGGTCCCCATCACGAATTGGTTGACCGATACGATTTGTCTCAACTTACTAACGACATGTTTTTGCAGTATTAGATCCTTATATACCAGTATAGTCGTCTGATCTGTATCTTTACCGGTTGTGTCCTTTTCTCGTTTGTGACATGTTGGCTGAGTGTAGATTCGCATGACAAGTTATGCATGCATAGCAGGCGACTGTTACCCTTTCGTGGCTCCCGTTCTCGCTACTTATAAAGTTCATGCTATTCCTTCAGTTTTCATTTGATACCTTAATTTCTCTGTTCATAAACGATATACAAGATTTGGACATCGGTAAACTACTGTCGCCTTAATATACCTTATACTTTGTCTATGCATTACGCCTTGTATTCCAATTCAGTTCATTGATCTAATTTGCTGTATGTTGCACGCAACCCGGGATAGAATTGTTCAAATTTTTCTCCAAGTTCTTATTGAAAGTTAGTTAAATGTCTTGTGCATTACATTTGTTATGTTCAAGTTTTAATTTTATATTGGTCTTTGGATTTCAATGATCGAAATTAAGACAAGAGCGTGCTAAATGTAGGTTGATTCAGAGAATGCGTGCCTTGCACCCTACAAAATAGTCGGTATTTTTTGTGTATGGTACTTATACATGGTATATAACGATTAACCGGCTTGTGTAGCTCTACGTTTTGTGCTTATATTTGCGTTAATTACCTCAAACATTGAAGTTATATACACATTAACATTGCACATTGTTTACGTTCATATCCTAAGACGGGAGACTGTAGTCAAGTGGTTGACGTAAGTTGTCGTCGGCTACAATTGTATTTCTCTTACTGCTATTTGCTTAAATCAGACCGTTAGTTATACTTTGTCAATTTTTAATTCTCAATTTTTAGGCAACTCGGAGGCCAGTTATGAACTGCTATACGGTTTTACTTATCATTGAATGCCGTATCGGTGACCTGCTGTTATTTTCATCTTGGTTCTTTGGGTTTTTTTTATTTATTGATTTTTTTTATGGATAAATATCTCATTGAAAACCATACCATTTACAAGTTCTAAAAGCAGTATCAATGTGAAAAATTCAAACATCAATTAACGAATTAACAGTTAAAAGAAAAGTTGAAAATTATAACGTTATTATTGTGTATAACATTTAAAGGGGCATTACCTGTCAACATAATGTTTACCGATTTGACTCCAATTCTCATATTGATTTAGAACATAATAAACGTATATCCAAATTACAAAGAGTCTAAAATGAACAATTAACAATGCATGTATATTAGTCTAGACGCCATCTAATTACCCACCGAGTTGGCATCCGAAGACTGCCGACGGTCCTATAACCCGATAAAATATTAATATAAATTTAAAAGATAGAGAACACCTTCTAATGGATTTGTCTAAGTCTTAAAAAATAGGTAAATCATAATTTTTACTTGTATACGAAAGATGTTTTGTGAATCGAATCAGTCAACCAAATGGTTCACCCTTGTTTCACTTTTAATGTTGACATTTTTTCCTTTGCATAGATAAACACGCCTAGTTATGCGTAACCCATCTCCAGCTAAGGATTTAAATTGAAGGTCACATGAATACGGATTCAATGAGGTTAAATTATTGACTTGCAAGTCAATGATACATCAGCAATGGTTTTGAGCTTATTTTGACAAATTTGGACACAATTGACTGCTTATGACGACATATTATTTCAAAATTCCGCCTTTATTAATAATTGACACAATAAGAATCGTATTTTAAATCTTTGGCTGAATCGTAGCTTATGCCCCTTTTAATACGACAGTAAAAAAACATACACTGAGATAATTACCTTTAATATCAGTCGGTTGTTCTGTTTCTGTTTCACTTGTGTCAAAGGATGCCATTATCTGAACTCAGAAGAGAGAAAACATAACACTTAAAATTACTTTGTGCAAAAAGTAAAATAACAAAAATACCGAACTTCAGGGAAAATTCTAAACGGAAAGTCCCTAAGCAAATGGCAAAACCAAAAGCGCAAACACATCAAACGAATGGATAACAACTGTCATATTCCTGACTTGGTACAGGCATTTTCTTATGTAGAAAATGGTGGATTAAACCTGGTTTTATAGCTAGCTACACCACTCACTTGTATGACAGTCGAATAAAATTCCATTATATTGACAACCATGTGTGACCAAAACAAACATACATAATAGGTAAAAATGTCAAAAATAGGGGTACATCAGTCAACATTGTGTTATAATCTTAATAACTTTTATATTTTATCACTCAAAGTTTATAACTTTTACAATAAGAAAATATACCTTCATGACTTACTTTTTGATAAATTTCAGTTTGAAATTTGCATGTTTCGTGTAAAAACGGAAAATTTAATTTTTCAATACTTTTCCGAAATAAAAATAACACTTTTTTGAAACGGAAAGAGATATTTTCACCCGTTTCTTTTGCAAAGTATTCCTTGATTAATGGGCCTTTAATAAAAGTCATAAGATGAAGACTGAATGCGTTAAAACAAATTATCAAATTATAGAATTATTGGAAATAAAAAGCCGAAGACACTTTTCTTGCAATATAAATGCATATACAAAAACTTCGATATAACATTCCCGAAGTAGTACCTAGTCGATTACAACAGAAAAATGGGCGACATGTGCTAATTTTTAGCTAGAAATAGAAAAAAATTGTTTCAATGCTGGAGATCCCATTTCCCTATTTTGCGCTGAATACCGTCGCAGTGAATTCTTGATGCAACATTGTCTTGCATGTGTTCTCGCCGCAAACAAAACTGCTACTAGTATACGAATTATACTGTCATATACGAACTCATTGATGATAGAAAAGTGAACAGTCTTCATTTGCCTCGAATTTTATGCCCCCGCAGTAGGTTTCACATGCTAAAATATACAATGTGTTTGTTTTCTTTTGCAAATACTTTCTAATTCACGTCATCGGTTTTGATGACCGAATGATTTTGACACTATTAAGTAACCAATGGAACTAATTATTTAAAAAAAAAAATACGTATGAATAAGTCAATAAAACTAAAAATCGAACAACATAAACTTTACAAAAATCTGTTATGAACTTAGTTGCCGCAGAATGGTGAGCAGTTTATGCTTTATTAGTTGCACTGTAGTGTTGCTCATGATAGATAACAATCTGATGATCAGGCTCATTTGGTAGGCTTATTAACGACTAAAGGGTGGTTTGATTCTAAATTCGGCAAAATGTTGCATATCTTTGGTCATCTGTATAACAGATATTCCATGACGACCAACCATATCATTTTTGCAATCGTGAATTTTTGACGAGACAGCATAACAAAACTTTGATTTTGAATTGATTAGTTCAAAAAATAAGAAAAAAGATAACACATAGAAACAATGACAACAATATAGAAACTGCAACTAGAAAAAAAAGGTGTTTTAAGTAATATGAAATAAGGAGATATGGTATGATTGTTAATGAGACAAAAATACAGTGATATATTGTCGAACGTGCATTGTTTGTTGTTTGCTACGTCAAGTGGATGATATTTCGTGCAAATTCAGGACGAGGACAAACTTATCAATATATCAAACGTGTAGATATTTTTCAAAATGTGTCGAACTAGAACGAAGGTGGAAGATTAGACTGCCTTTTTAAAAAAGAATAGTTTTTTTAGGGGAAGATGAACTTTTCTTTCCAGACAAGATAAGAACCCCTTATTGCGCCTTAACTACAGAGAGTGCAAAAATCGCCTTACAAATACATCGAGTGAAATGTGGTTGGAAGTGAATAATACCCCTTTTGAGCATTCACCAATTTTAACTAAGCAACAACATAGCAAACAACAATCTTTATATCCATTATTTTATCTGATGGAGTAATTGATTTATTAGCATATCCCCTCGATATCAGCTAAATAAGGACAATATACTTTTCCACAAAGGCATACACTAGTGCTGCAATATTGCAAGTCAGTAGAGCAAATTCAGCATGCTACTATAATAAGGTAAGGACAACACCAATCATCGAAAATTTTATTGTTCAACCAAGGCTTCACATACATCATACACAAATAGGAAAACGGCACTCCATACAAGACAAATTTAAACCTACTCATATATGCATATACACTGAAAAACAAGGTAGTCGAGATCCATGCAGTATTTAGGATTCGTTTTGTTGTTAACCCTCTTTAATTACAATCATGATTAAGTAAATATAAGCTACCAATTAAACTCGAGTAATAGAAAAAAAAAGTTGTTTATATTGATGTTAACATACTTACAAAACAAACAAACAAATACGTATTTCGCCACAAATTATGTATGTTTTCTTTACCTGGATGTCAGCAGGTTGTGCAATACAAATAGTAATGGAAAATTTAAATGCCACAGGTAGATCGATCATCCAACGCCATTCATTATTCTATTTTATAAGTGTAGATTCTATACTAATATAGTATCACCAAGCGTGTAATTCAATACTTTGAAATCAGTCTATTGATCTTCAACTGTATATTTGTATGGCGATAAATAGAGGACAATTCCGACGATCCTATTGTTATGGGTTCGTTGTTTAACCCCTTCCCATTGTATTTGTACTATATAATCGAGATATTAAGCTTTATGTGATATAATGTACATTATGTTCTGTACATTGAACATTATTTGAAGTTAAGATATTGTTATTAGGGCTCAAATTAGAACTTTGAATATCAGCATTGTGATTCAATGTGCCACAAACCTCTACCGTATACACTTTGAAGTTGATTTGTCGAGTGTACCGATATTTTTGGTGAACCTTTTCATATACCAAATCTGATTCTATAGTATTAGCTCAATTCATTTAATATTCCCAAATTTTAATATATAAGCTCAGAAAATTCGAAGTATATTTCAAATTTTGAGAAAAAAAAAATATGAGTAATTTACTATTGAAGTTAATACGGTTCACTCAGTTTGTTTGTGTAACTTTGATATGTCTTCGTAATCCATTTACGAGATTTGGTAGACCAATGTTGCTTTTTTTAACTTAATAGTGTCGTGTGTTTGTTGAAATTATGTATAAGTAAAGAATGTATTCAGAGTGTAACGCCGTAATGAAAAAACTCTAAATGCCCCCAAATTCGTGTACATTTCTTAAAGAATTCTTCCCCAATTTTTCCCTGAAAACTGTAAGCTCAGTTGAATCAGTATTAATGGTTACCTAAAGCTGCTCGAATCTTCTTTTTTGGTTTCTGTTGGATAGATGTCTCATTGGCAATCGTACCACCACTTATTTTTAAACTGACCTCCTTTCAAAATTATGTGTCGACTGTAATTTCCTTGTTTAAGCTAGTAAACAACTATAATAACTGCTGGTAATATTATACACGATGGAAATAAAAAAATACACAAACAAATCAGGTCGTTAATGGTAAGTTGAATAAACATGTAAGATAGTCAAACATGAAAGTATGACAGTTATACCCCACAGAGATAATACATAGAGATTTTAGTAAATTTGACAAAATCCTCTAGATTTCAACGAACCTTCAAGAAACAGAAACTACAGTACTCAATAAACTAAATATTGAAGTCGGGTATGAAAAACATGATAATATAATTTATTTTTTGTTGAAACATATGCTATTCGTTATCGGGCCATAAAACAAATGAAAAGTTGCCGTTTTCATTGGATTTGGTTAACAGATGAAATGGATGCTTATATTTCTTGCGACACCACAAAATAACGTTGTACTCAGAACATATAATTTAAAAAGCGAAGGTTTTCACTAAGATTCACTGCGATGATAGCAATTTAATTATAACGAAAGATATTTATTAGATACATGTAAGTATGCAGGACATAATGCTAAGCCGAAATGTTAATTCAGACTCGGAACCTATATCAATCCTAGCCTATACCATCATTGACCCGGATTCATGATAGAAAGGAAACAAATACATTTGATGTTTATGGTGTGACTCAGCGATGAATATATCCCATACTATTCTGAACAATAACACAAGTTCGACGAGACGGGATGAAAAATTGAAAACATACAAATAAAATTACCGGTTGATACGAGCAGTTTGAAAATAAGCGAATAAGACCGCTGGTTGTCCCGTTTGAATGGTTTTACACTAGTAATTTTTGGGGCCCTTTAACGCTTGCTGTTCGGTGTGAGCCAATGCTCCGTGTTGAAGGCCGTACCTTGACCTATAATGGTTTACTTTTATAAATTATTACTTGGATGGAGAGTTGTCTAACTGGCACTCATACCACATCTTCCTATATCTAATTAATAGAAATAAGAAAAGACAACTTACTCAGATAGGCATACAATGCAATATTTCAAGCCAGTAGAGTACATTTAACTGTAATTATAATAAGGTTAGGCCAATTGAGACAAAATGGCAAAATTTCATCATCATACCAAGGCTTCACTAACATCATACACAAATAGGAAAACAACACTCCATACAAAACGAATTAAATCTACTCACATATGCATACACAATGAAAAACTACATGTTAGCAGATTGAATTAAAACCCCAATACTACGAAAAGATTACGTACCCTCTATATTATTTTTTTCTCAAAAGAGTAATGAAGTTAGCTATCAATGAAACGCGATTAAAAGAAAGGTATTGTTATATATAATGATAATAATATACTTACAAAAACAAACAAATAGATAAAGTATTCCGATACAAATTATGTGTGACTTTTTCTCCTGAGTGTCAGTAGATTGTGCAATACAAATAGTAAGGACAAATTTAAATGACACAGGTGAATCAATCATCCAGCACCATTGATTATTCTATAGTGTAATGTAGAATTTATACACATGTTGTTGGTATATATCAAGGTAATATCATCATTCAGTAATTTGAGGTATCAGTCTATTTGTATACATTTGTATGGAGGTATATAAATAATATCGTGAACGTTTGTAGGTATTTTAGCATGAATTGTTTTAAATTTTGTCATATTGGGGGCCCTTATGGTTTACTATACAGTATTGTTTTTGTACCTCCTTACATCACGTGATTTAGTTTATATAGTACATTATATAGTTGTTGATATATTGGGTATATTTTGGCATTCATGTTCCAACTCCTTTTCTATATTTCATATTGGTTATATTTTGTCTACTGTCACAACCTGCTTTAAAATTATCGTTTTTAATAAACGACAATTTTAAAACCAAGATAGTCAAACATGAAAGTATGACATTTATACTCCATGAAAGGTAATACATAGAGATTTTAGTAAATTTGACAAAATCCTCTAGATTTCAACGAACCTTCAAGAAACAGAAACTACAGTACTCAATAAACTAAATATTGAAGTCGGGTATGTTATGTGCTTTACGAAAAACATGATAATATAATTTATTTTTTGTTGAAACATATGCTATTTGTTATCGGGCCATAAAACAAATGAAAAGTTGCCGTTTTCATTGGATATGGTGAACAGATGAAATGGATGCTTATATTACTTGCGACACCACAAAAAGAACGTTGATGAGTACATTTTCAAAAAAGAACATATATTTTATAAAGCGAAGGTTTTCACTCTGATTCACTGCGATAATAGCAATTTAATTATAACGAAAGATATTTATTAGATAAGTATGCAGGACATAATGCTAAACCGAAATGCTAATTCAGACTCGGAACCTATCAATCCTAGCCTATACCATCATTGACCCGGATACATGATAGAAAGGAAGCAAATACATTTGGTGTTTATGGTGTGACTCAGCGATGCATATATCCCATACTATTCTGAACAATAACACAAGTTCGACGAGACGGGATGAAAAATTGAAAACATACAAATAAAATTACCGGTTGATACGAGCAGTTTAAAAAATAAGCGAATAAGACCGCTGGTTGTCCCGTTTGAATGGTTTTACACTAGTAATTTTTGGGGCCCTTTAACGCTTGCTGTTCGGTGTGAGCCAATGCTCCGTATTGAAGGCCGTACCTTGACCTATAATGGTTAACTTTTATAAATTGTTACTTGGATGGAGAGTTGTCTCATTGGCACTCATACCACATCTTCCTATATCTAATTAATAGAAATAAGAAAAGACAACTTACTCAGATAGGCATACAATGCAATATTTCAAGCCAGTAGAGTACATTCAACTGTAATTATAATAAGGTAAGGCCAATTGAGACAAAACGGCAAAACTTCATTATTAAACCAAGGCTTCACTGACATCATACACAAATAGAAAACAACACTCCATACGAAACAAATTAAATCTACTCACATATGCATACACAATGAAAAACTACATGTTAGCAAATTGAATTAAAACCCCAATACTACGAAAAGATTACTTACCCTCTATATTATTTTTTTTTCAAAAGAGTAATGAAGTTAGCTATCAATGAAACGCGATTAAAAGAAAGGTATTGTTATATATAATGATAATAATATACTTACAAAAACAAACAAATAGATAAAGTATTCCGATACAAATTATGTGTGACTTTTTCTCCTGAGTGTCAGTAGATTGTGCAATACAAATAGTAAGGACAAATTTAAATGCCACAGGTGAATCAATCATCCAGCACCATTAATTATTCTATAGTGTAATGTAGAATTTATACACATGTTGTTGGTAAATATCAAGGTAATATCATCATTCAGTAATTTGAGGTATCAGTCTATTTGTATACATTTGTATGGCGGTATATAAATAATATCGTGAACGTTGGTAGGTATTTTTCGCGTGAATTGTTTTAAATGTTGTCATATTTGGGCCCCTTATGGTTTACTATACAGTATTGTTTTTGTACCTCCTTACATCACGTGATTTAGTTTATATAGTACATTATATAGTTGTTGATAGGTATATTTTGGCATTCATGTTCCATCTCCTTTGTCTATATTTTATACTGGTTATATTTTGTCTACTCTCACAACTTGCTTTAAAACTATCGTTTTTAATAAAATAAAAGTATAATTTAGATTTTGTCATAAGCCTGTAATTACTTAAACAAATTTGAATTTCATTTAAGCCAATAAATCTATCTTTTTGCCAATTTAAATTGCAGTTTATGAAATATTTTAGAATTAATAGAATTTTTATTTTCATTTTATTCATTATTCTTTTACCAGTAAAAAGGCAAACTTCTTTATTGAATTTTTAAAGATACGACAATGAAAAACATACTTTTTTCTGAGTTCCGGAAATTTCATTTTACTTCATCATCCACATTTTTCATAAGATTAACATTTTTACTGAACGATAAACCTGCACGAGATAAGCTATGGTTTTTTTTTCAAAACTTGTTTTTTTGTTTTGTTTTGTTTTTTTTATCATGGAAAACTAGAGATTAGCAGATATGAATATTTTACTTAGAGAACAATTTTTTTTTCACCACAGAATGATCAAAATTATAATTCAAATTCATGTTCAAGCAAAGAATTTTTTCATAATGTACGATCATAATGAAAACTCCAAATGAACCCTAAACAATTCTATATCATTTCTTTAAGAATTTCGTAAACCACGCTTATATTTAACAAAATGTCATCAAAAATTAAAAGCGCAGTTGAAACAGTAGTTAGATAACAAGATTTATTTAGTGTTAGTGTATTGTTATAATGATAGCACATTCCTGTAAGTGTAAGAAGAATTATATAGCAGGGTAAACAAACGCAGATTGCACCATTACCTCCTGTATTTATTTTTTAAACGAAATTATTTAAAACTGACAACAATTAATCATGAATATCTTATGGCTGTTCATTCATTTTGTCCTTTTATTAATGTTTTTCTCTGTTTGTAGTTGTGTCACACGTGTGTGTGTGTAAGCGCTCAACTCTCTAATTACCTGAGACAATGGTGCACACTATAACATGTATAAGAACAAAATAAGACATTGTACAAAGCAGTTGTAAAAGGCATGACTCATCAGATGTACATTATTTACAAAAAAAAAGAAGACAAAGTAAGGAAAAAAAAACACAAATTAACGATCTAAGAGTTACTGAAAGCTGCTTCCAAACCAATAACAGCTGATAAATAAATCATAAAAATAAGAAGTTGTGGTATGATAGCCAATGGGATAACTCTCCACCAGTGACCCAATGACATAGAAGTGAAAATATAGGTCATCGTACGGCCTTGAGCAATGAGCAGCAAACCCGATATATCATAGTAAGCTATAAAAGCACCGAACTGACGAATGAAAAAGAACAAGAAAACTAAGTGCTTGATTAAACTACAAACCAATGAACGAAAAACAAATATGATATACAGCAACGATTTGTCTTTCATTTACTCTGTATTTATAGAAAAGAAACAAAAAACCATAATAATGATTTGTTGGTACTGTTGTTACACGTTTGCATTCATCATTTAGGATTAACTTAATGTAACACGTTTTTTTAATATTATATATTGTAGTCTGTTGCGTTGCTTCAACAAAGCACCTGATAATAGGTGGCTGATAGCCTTGGTGAAAGATAACTCATTAACAGCAAAACTGATCGACTGGTAGCACGAACAAAACATATGATTTAACTCCGCAAAGCACTTATATCATGGAAATAAAACCGTCATCGGGTACGTTTACGCTCGTGGTCAAAAGTTTTGAAACCCAAAATTATAAACAATTTAAAAACATTGCCTTGGTCAAAGTTGGAAGGGCCTTATTTGTTAACCAAAATCAGGTCAATTATTTTAAATTATTTTTGTTTTGCTCCTCTTATTGCCGACTTATACCTTTATTCATAAAAGGCTGAATTCATACAGGAACTTCTTAGGAAGAAAGAAAAAAACGTTAGCAGTATCCTTTATTTTCACACTCCACTATATAGATGAATAGTTCAAAATTTAGTGGCTATGTTCAACGTATTTATCCCATCGAATTTGAGATAAAGGATACAACAGATACAGTGAAGTCGGTCCTATATCTTGACTTGCATCTAGAAATTGACAATGATGGTCGGTTGAAAACAAAACTTGCCGACAAAAGAGATGATTTCAGCTTCCAAATTGTGAACTTTCCATTTCTATTTAGCAACATTCCAGCAGCGCCTGCATACGGAGTATATACCTCCTAATTATACGATAGTCCAGGGCTTGTATTTCATATCATGATTTCCTTGATAGAGGGTTGATGCTCACAGGGAAGCTATTAAACCAAGATTTCCAAGTGGTTAAGTTGAAATCATCCCTTCGTAAATTTTACGAACGCCATCACGAGTTGGTTGACTGTTATAAAAATCCGTTTCACAGATGACAACGAATAAGTGTCAATTGTCGTAACTACAATTCCGTCCCCTTTCCCCGAATGTGACCTACCGAATTAGACTTATCCCGGGTTTGTACTAACAAGAACAATGCGACGAGTGCCACGTGTGCAGCAGCTTCACCTTCCGGAGCACCTGATATCACACCCCAGGTTTTGGTGGGGATCGTGTTGCTCCGTATGTGTTTTTTTCTATGTTGTGCTTTGTGTACTGTTGTTTGTGTATTTGTCTGTTTCTTGTTTAGCCATTAGGTTGTCAGTTTATTTTCGACTTGAGGTTGAATATCCCTTTGGTATCCTTCGCCTCTCTTTTAAAAGCAATATATGGACATATATTTCATTGTCTAGCCCTCCTTTGAAGCACACACATCAAAATTACATTTTTGATAATAGCTTTAATTTTACAAATTTAAAAGTTGTACATCGTCTACATGTAGGTGTAGAACTTTTTTGTTTGTGTATATTGTACTAAGAATTGAAAGTTCAGCATATTCAAAAACAACTCCCGGGCCCGAAATCAAATGGAAAGCAGTGTGTTTTCGTTGGGTTTTGTGACAAAATATAATCGATACTTATCGAACATGCTACACACGAAAAAAATAATGATGTATACATATTCGAAAAACGACGTATTATCTATCAACTCATGTTCTAAATATTTATTGATGGTGATAGTGATAACTGATTTTCCTGTTGCGGTCTAATTTTCCCAATCCGTCATCTTGGTCAATTCTAACCATACTTAGTCATGCCATTGTATCATTGTTAATTTGTTCTCGGCTTGAACTTGCATATGATATTTGCAAAACGACGTAAAACAAAACAAAACGCATATTTCATTTTCTGAAACCATACTCGCACAAAATCTAAACTATACTCAACCGCATCGTAATCCTACTCGACAAGTCACGCTATTGTATTTCTAGTCTAACATTCTTAAATGTTTAACTTACTATAATATCAACTATATAACACTTATCTTTGCTTTCTTTTCAGTTTAAACAAAATACGGCTATGATTATGTTAATTATCAATGTGAGGAGGAATTCTTCAAGAGAAGTAATTATTCTATTTTACATGTATTTCTTCATAAAAGCATGCATTTGATATTAATTGTATTGATATGTTGAGGATATCCGTCAGGGAGTCATAATTTATTGTTTTGTTTTACTTTGCTTTCAACAAGCTTTCATAACAGTGAGTAATCCTCCACCAATACTTTGTTTCTTGCTTTTTATTAGATTTTTTTGCTTTGTCGAATCAAAATTTTTCAAGCTATTATTTATAGCTTGTTCTCATGTTATACGGTATTGGTACTGTTCTACGTTAGGTTGGGGATTAAGAGCTCATATGCAGGTCTATTTTTTGTTTTTACCTTTTTTAAATACTCAAACTGACTTATTGTGCCCCATTGATTCCTTGGTTGGTGCAACTTAAAATGTACGGCTTGATAGTTTTACTACTTAACATGTTCGTCTGTTGTAATTTATATTGCAGAATGTCTCCAGCTTTTTATTCGGCACTTCAAATCTAGCTCGAGGTTAGAACGATTGTATTTGCTAAGTATTAATTTATATGAAGATCAACTGCTTATGATTCAAACTAATGCTTTTTTGCATGTTTAATGTATTTGATTCATTCTAATTTTTATTATTTCCAGTTGTTAAAGCTGCCCATTCTAAAGTTATACCAACTAGATAAATGACCTAAACTTTGAGGTTTACATGTACACACCTGATAAATGATATTTGAGAAACACGTGATTTCTGAACTGCAATTGGTATCCTACGTTGATGTTAGAAGACATTCAGACTTCTGTAGGTAAAATATGACAGAAAGACCACCAGTGCTTAAGGCTTCTATGTTGTGCATAATATGCTCTTTGTAAACGTTAAATTTTTTAATTAAAGTATGTCGTTCCACTAAAATTTGCGTTACAACTCCTTTGGTAAAGTTTACTGAAGAAAGATGAAAATGTCGTTCAAAAGTCTTTTTATGTTGCAAAACTTAATGGTATAATGGCTTTCATAATTATCAGAAGCTGGTGATTATACCACTGCGCGCGCGTAGAAATCTACATCATATACTTAAATTCAGTAATTGTATAACGCTTGGTCAATATTGATAAACAATGAATATTAATACGTCTGATATACGTATTTTTCTAATTCCAATTCTTTAACATTTCCTTTATGTGGTCCGATATCGTAACATGACCAAAACAAACAAACACCAAATAGCCTTAAACGAAATGAAAAAAAATTAACATTATCTCGTTCCCATGATAAAACGAAAGGAACATCTTGATATATATATATTTGTTCACATTTCCTACTGTTTCTCTTTAATTTATTGCATATGTATTATCATAGTATTCAAATTCAAATAACACTAAATTCTTGATTTGTTCGAGTTTCATACCTGGATTAAACCTATCAGGAACGCGCAAATCCGAAAATTTTGAAGTCAAGAATGTTTAAATACTTGACTACTTTAGGAGATGTTTAGCCATCATTAAAATATGTTCATTTATTTTTAGAAATAAAATGATACAATAAAGAAGCTACTCGAATTCCAAGTCCTTAAGAAAAAGAACATTTGATACTAGGCATTGGATTTATAAACTTTTTGCAAGAATTGCAAAATAAAGCACTTATGTTTTCTGATTTGTATAACCATGTATCAAACAAAGGTACTTTGACAATAATGTTTGCATCACACGACATATGATTTCAACATTCACAAACATATAGTACATTCAATGTCAGAGTGGCATGAATGTACATCCAAATACTTTGGTTTGAATGTGCCTGTTGTGAGACTGATATTTTATATTGATTAACCAATATTAAAAGGCGACCGAAAAAAATATATATATGATGATATCAGTCGTTCTTTCTTGAAAACTTGTTCTTGAGTGACGAGCGTCACAACAAAAACCATAGTAAAATCAGACTCTAGCATATCGGACCAATTGAGAAATGTGAACTCCTCATGTCAGTTATGTCCCAACGCCGAAACTATTTTAGCAGTATTGGTCGAATAATTATTTGAAGTGAAGTAAAATTATTACACTTTTGTCTCAGGTTAGGGTGAAGGTTGGCGCCTGTTAAAACATTTTAAACCGGCTGCATTTTTATGCATCTGTCCTAAGTCAGGAGTCTGTTTTTCAATGGTTGTCGTTTGTTGGTGTTGTTCATAGATGTTTCTCGTTTTCTATATAGATTAGACTGTTCGTTTTCCTGTTTGAATTATTTTACACTAGTCATTTTGCGGCCCTTTATAGTTCGGTGTGAGTCAAGGCTCCGTGATGAAGGCCGTGATTTAACCTATGATTTTTAACTACTTTTTATACATTATGACTTGGATGGAGAGTTGTCTCATTGGCACTCATACCACATCTTCTTATTTATAGTAATTATTTACAAAAGTATTCAACTAATTTACTTGCTACGTTTTATTTTTTAATCATATGATAACGTGAGTTTGATTACGTTTATTAATTTTTGTTGAATTGTTTAGGGAACTGCAGGGGCACTGAGTTTACAACTGTCCGCATTGTACCACTTGCATTTACCATATCTCTCTCTACATATTGCATTATTCGTGTAGCATTGTAAAGCAGTCGGATCTGGTATTTTGCAGTGGATAGATTTTGTGCTGATATCCTACAAAAAGAAACATAACACATTTTAGTTGTTTCAGATCAAAATGGTGTTACAAGTGAAAGGGTCAGGAAACAGATGGCGTCTTCTTTTGAATATTATTTAGTCCATATTTGCATAGATTTTGGCAAATATCTCTCTACTCCTTATAATTAAGCAGCCTACTATGTCTCTAATATGTACAAACCATTTGTTAAATGACAGATGATGTTCTCTCACTAAATAATTCAAAACTTGGTGACTATGTTGAACGCATCTATCCTATCGAACTTGTGATAAAGGATACAACAGTTAAGTCTACCTCATACTTTGACTTACATATAGAAATTGACAAAGACGGTCGGTTGAAAACAAAACTTTACGACAAAAGAGATGATTTCAGCTTCCCAATTGTGGACTTTCCATTTCTATGTAGCAACATTCCAGCAGCGCCTGCATACGGAGTATATCTCCCAATTGATACGATATTCCCGGGCTTGTATTTCCTATCATGATTTCCTTGATAGAGGATTGATGCTCAAAAGGAAGCTTTTAAACCAAGAGTTCCAAATGGTGAAGTTGAAATCATCCCTTCGTAAATTTTACGGACGCCATCACGAGTTGGTTGACCGTTATGGAATAACCGTTTCACAGATGATATCGGATATGTTCCTTATGTCGTAACTACAATACCCTTCCCTTTTCACGAATGTGACCTACCGAATTAAACTATTTACCGGATTTGTAATAACATAAGCAACACGAGGAGTGCCACATGTGGGCAGTTTTTGGTGGGGTTCGTGTTGCTTAGTCTTTAGTTTTATATGTTGTGTCATCTGTACTATCATTTGTCTGTTTTTATTTTTATTTTTGGCCATGGCGTTGTGTTCGTTTTCGATCTATGAGTTTGACTGTCCCTCTGGTATCTTTCGTCCCTCTTGTGTTTGTGAAACATCACTTTCAGCACCGTTGGGAGTATCATAAAGGTCAGTTTTTGTTCATAAATATGGAAGCTAGAGTATCCAGAGAGAACCACTAGCCTTCTGCAGGAAAGCTGATAATCCTTATCAATTAAGATCGGAGTAGAAAACTTGCTACGATAGGCACATTGAAACGGAGAATTAAATTTGAATATTTTACTTACCTTGCATCCACGATCACAGTTTCTTTTATATGTGTTTATTCCAGTCCCTAACAAGTAATCCCGAATCGATGGCGTTGTCCCAAGGTCTTTGACCCTATAAACAATATTTGAAGCAAGGCTTCGAAATCCACCATTTGCAGTTTTAAATCCTAATAAAAAGATGTGATAGAATTATTGGTTGATGGCTACTTAACGAACAGCCGTTCATTTAATAGTGCATAGTCTCTTTATCAAAAGTTGTTAATGGGATATGAATATGAACAGTGTACTAAGTTGAAATGCTGAGTGATGTCTTGACTTACAAGGTAATAATAATAGTCCGGAGGAACCCATATCACCCTGCTATATAAACTATACATACTCAGAACTGATCAATCATTTGTTGTACTCTAGAAAGCAGTTAGTTCCATGGAAGACAAACTGGATATACCATTTTAGGCATTAAGTATGACTTAATATAACCTATGATCTTCTTCACACGAGGCCAGAATATTTATACGTGATTACCGAGACGGGAAGCAACATTAAACACATACAAATAAAATTACAGAGTCATACGAGCAGTATGAAAATAATAACCCCAATAAATTCTTATTGTACCTGTCCTATGCCAGTTGGATGTTTCTCATTGGTTGCCCTTGGTTACTGTCTGCCCTATTTTTTTTTTAATTGTTATTTGCATAAATTAGATCAAGCTCCATTTTTTGTCACAATATATCATAGCGGGACCTTTGTAGCTTACTACCCGCGATTGGTTTGCTAATTTTTTAAGGCCGTAAGGTGATTTATATATGTGTTTACATCCATGTCAGTTGGTCCCTGATAGCTCGTTGTATCACTGGGAATCGCACTACATAACCTTATTTGTATATAATACTGATATTCTCCGGACTTTCATTTGACAATATGAAGGGTATGATGTCATGCTAGTAATGTTTGTTTCTTGAAGTTATATAAAAAGCTGTGTCATTGTGCACACAATAACGACTCCTTTTTTATCTTAATATATACGTTTAAAACAAAGCATTTCAAATTGACTTGATTTGATAGGAAAACATCATCGTATGCCTACTTTGAAATAAGAAAGAAGATGACATTAAATGATCTTCAAACGTAAGATACCGAGTCCAATAAGTGAAGATAGCTTCATTGATATTGACAACGCATTAAAGTAAGATGTTAATTAACGCCTTTTTTTCTTTTCTTTTGAAAATATGATAAGATAATATGCCTAAATTTTGTTTGCAAGAATATCACTATTGAAAAAAGTAATCATATTCAAAGATTTTACGAAATAAAATCAAACTTCCCAGACTGTTTTTAAAGTTTATTTATCAATGAGAGTTGTCTTTCCTTTTTCCAAGAAAGCGTGTTTTCATTTTGGTTTTATCTTTTTTTATTTTTTGTTTTGAGGATCTGCGTTTTAGTTATACATTTTTGACTTCTTTTTTTTTCTATTTATTTTTTTTTATTTGTGCTTTAAGCATCTAGTCTCCCTTTTTTAACGTAAAAGGATAGACAGTGTAGTCCTTCTGGCATTTTTCTTTTTTGTATTATCGCAGACATGTCAGATTACCTGATAAGACATATTCATCTCCAATAGTCAAGCTTATGGAACAGAGGGCGCCATTCCCTGATGTTTCAACTATAACCTCTTTGCCTTTCTTTATCTGGTCGGGTCCCTGTGATATTAAATACTCTCGAATGATAATACCTTATTATCATATGTATTAATGTATATAATAATTTAAAAGTAAACGTTAATGAGACCGTAACCAAAATACACAATGATACAAACTAAAACAAAATATATAGGACGTTCTCTTTTCTTCAACACGTGTCTATTCACAATCTGAAGTCTGAATCATGTTGAATCAAAACAAGATGTGAATAAATCGCACACATTTGAAACGAGTAAGTTCAGTAAGTACCATATTTAATGTAATTGTATTACATTTTTAAAAATCGTTAATTGATTGAAGATCATAATCTAAACTATTTCACAAACAGTTTTCAAAAATGATAACAATTATTAGTAAAAATACAAATACTGATCGACAGATGAAGTAGGAAACTTTCGTCTTTATATAACCTAAAGCATAGAGAGCAATATTACCAAAAGCATTCACCAAAACGTTCAAAACAATTGATATCAAACCAATGGCATGATGGTAATGGATAAGAACATAGAAATAGCGCATAGACCATTGTTTCAAGAAAAAGAAATGTTTTTAAGTTGATGGAAAGACATGCAAGAAAGTGAAATAGAACTATTTTCGTTTAACCTTTCTTATGTAGCAATGACTTTCACAAGCCGAAATGTAGACCTAGGAAACATACAGCGAAGGCTCGACGAACAAAAATATAAGTCAGATATGCAAATTATTATACAAAACATGATATTAAAGATCTTTTTGTCGATGCATGAGCTCTATGTGTCTTGTCTTAAAATTTGACCTGTTTTTGATATAAAAATTGAAAATTTTGTAATTTATGCTTATATGCAAATTTTGACAAAAAGACATATTATTTTTGACTACATTTTTCCGCTATAGAACAATTGTGTAGGCAGTTTGTCAGATTTATTTGTATGTTTGCTTGAATTTTTAAGTCAGTTGTGTTGTTTGTCTGTGATGTATGTTTACACAGTTTTTGCTGCTGGACTTCTATTATTGTCATATTAACCGATTATGTCTGTTTGGGTTGTTTACCAAATTGTGTCAATATAACGGAACTATAAACAACTGTCAAACAATAGGGAGGTTTACCTAGCCATAGAACCAGGTTTAACTCACCACTTTTATCGGAAAATGCGTATACCAAGTTAGGAACCTTTCGATCTGTTTTTTGGTATAGTCTAAAATTTGCTTTTGTTAATTTTTATGAACGTCCCCTCTTTGAAATACCATTTATTTAGTTCGGTATTTTTGTTAGTAGTTTCCCCCTATTTAGTCATTATTTAGCTATGATGCAATGTTATATTCCTAAATCTTAATCTGAAATTTTGGCTAGAAATAAGGTCAGTAATAGGGCCTTATCAAACCTACTCCTTTGATGAGCTTGGCAATTATTGGTTACTTTAACATGTATCTTTGGGATAAATGCAAAGTTAAAAACCAAACGTTTAATACATGTGTAAAGAAATCAAACTGACAGAACATAATCTTCTGTAATATTGTTTTGTTTAGTTTTGTTTTGAATATTTTTCCATGCATTCTATTTCTTGAGGTAAAAGTGTGAAAGACTGAATTGTTATTCCAATTCATTGGTGTATTTTATTTTTTTGTTAATTGATAATGGATTACATAATCCAAATTATTTTACAAAAAATTCTTAAGAAAAATACAATAAAGAATCGACATATTTATTAGGAATAATTCGCCTTTAGGGAATATAAAGCACGCCGCATAATATTTCAAAAAGCATTCATCAAAACGTTCTAAATAATTGATAACCAACCAATGACATGACGTTAATTTCATTTTTGGGTACGAATAATGAAAAATACACATAATCCATCCAATTATGACACCGCGAATTGTACGCAAATATTGTAATTAGTCAACACATATACTTTGGTATTTTACCTTCAATTTGCTAATAACAAGTATACTATATTTATACACAGCATCATTATCATTAACGTCTCCAGGTGGTCCATTTATCTTTATGACACTTTTCGCTGTCCCATGTATCACTGAACAAAATAAACATAGTATTTACATGAAAATATGTACAAACACAATCATTTAAGTTTTACTTTAGTAACAGGAGAAATTGCCAAAGGCTGTGAACACTATTCCTAATGGAACATTCTGATAGTTTCCAAAGTATATTCTAAAATATTCAGATTTATCTTCATTGGTACAATTGATGCTAAGTACGTATCTCTAGTAGGATGTGTTTGTATATTTGTATGCTCAATTGGACAAAGTTGTGTACTTATACCTCTCGCAGAGCCAAATAGATGCCTTTTGCAGGAAAGGTGTAAGGACTTTTGTATCAGTAGAGCATGGTTTATTCCCAACACTTATTTTTAATGTAAGGCAATACGAAATAGAAACGCGTTAGAGGTGATAGCAAGGTAAGTTTTATGTAACCTTTTTTTTCAAATCCCTAGGCAATGTTATTTCGATTGATTGAGTGTCTTTTGTTTTATGCATATTCAGGGAGTGAGGACAAATGATTAACTAATTCTAGACGTACCTTGATCTATAATGGTTAACTTTTATAAATTGTAACTTGGATAGAGAGTTGTCTCATTGGCACTCATACCACATCTTCCTATATCTATAAACCGTTTCTAAATAAATATGTCGACATAATAAAGGGTTAAAAAATCAACTGTCTCTGGCAAATGTGTGTGTGTTTTGTTTATTATTATTTAGTGAGCTGTCGAGAAATTCATAATTGAACGTTTAATTGCATAAACAAGCATACTGTGGATTCATTTATTTTCGTGGGTATCGATTTTCGTGGATTGAGAAAAACTTGCATTTTCGTGGATATTTGATTTCGTGGATTTGTCAAAGTGTCTGCTTACAACCTTATAAAATGTGTAATTCGTTGAATATTTAAATTCGTGGTTTACTGGTAACCACGAAATCTACGAAATTCATATGAAATAGTTTTTAAATCGGCATTGCAGTTCAGGTCAATATATATCATATATGCACATTAACCATGAAGACATAAAACAACCAAAATACATACATTTCAATACAATCCATGACCATCATCAACGATGTTCAATTTTACAAAACAAAGTTGTTATCCTGTAACACTTGAAACAATGACTATACTATGACCAGTAATATTGCAATAGAAAAACAACAGTCAATCATTGACTAGTAATAAATAAAATAAACTCCCAAGTCAGGAACCTGTAATGAAGTGGTTGTCGTTTGTTGCTGTGTTTCATTTTAGTTTTTCGTTCATTATTTTGTACATAAATTAGGCCGATAGTTTGCACGTTTGAATTGTTTCACATTTGTCATTTCGTGGCCTTTTATAGCTGACTATACGGTATGGGCTTTTCATTGTTGAAGGCCTTTCGGTGACCTAAAGTTGTTAATTTCTGTGTCATTTGGTCTATTGTGGAGAGTTGTCTCATTGTCAATCATACCACATCTTCTTTTTATATATAAAACCAAATTTATAGGATGACTATGAAAACAGTTTTATTAGAATGCCAAAAAACAAGCACGTGATATTTGTGATGTTGGGAGTTATATATTTCATAATTATACATTCAACCTATCATGTAATACTATATTACTTCAATAAAGAAGCATACTAACAGTGTGTCTACAATAAACTAAAATTTGTAAATATGCTAGATAAACTTCCTTGAAGTGTGATGAGACGATTACAGCTGTAAATGTCCCCCTTGACAACAGCTGTGTACGTTTCAGCAATAAAGTGTATCGATAGGTTATAAATATTCCTATGACATCAACTGTGCCTTCTTAACAACATTTTGTTCCTGTATTATTATGAATAACAGTTTACTGACAAACTGAGTTAAGACCCGTCTATATTTCATTTAATTGATATATTCAACAACACTAACCGTGATCTTAATGCTGAAATTTACCCAAAGGAACTTACTTTAGATTAATCAAATATAAATAGCAATAACTGTCCTTTTCTAGACAAAAATATATATTTCATTACTCCATCCTACACAAAACAATTACAACCAAAGGAACAATGTTTCGTTCCCTATTCTTAAATGTTCTTCTTTAAACTCGTTCGCCATGCCCGTGTCTGTAGTGTCGCTTTGGATTTCCATGAACGTATTCTATGTATTCATGGTAAATTATTAAGTAAATGATTTTGTAACAACATATAACTTAAAACCGTGATCAAATTCTTTCATGTAAACAAACATTTTGTTTTGAAATTTGGCTTTACCTAGTTTTTTCGTTAGTTGACTGTGTGCTTTGTATCCACATGATAAATTGAGCCCTTTTCAACTGATTTTAATACTTTTTGTTATTATGCTGAGCTGTTTACGTTCTGTCAAATGTTAGGGGAGGGTTGAGCTAGAACAAACATAGCTAACTCCGCATCATCCTGTATAAGCCTGTTCCAAGTCAGGAGCCTTTAATTCAGTCCTTGTCGTTTGTTGCTGTTTATACTATTGGCTTTTCGTTTATTGTTTTTACATAATTCAGGCCGTTAGTTTTCTCGTTTGAATTGTTTTACATTATTCATTTAGGGACCTGTTATAGCCTGCTATGCTGTATCGGTTTGGTTCATTTTTGGAGAGGCCGTACGGTGAAGTATAGTTAATAACTTTTACGTCATTTGGTCTCTGGTCGCGAGTTTTCTAATTAGCAATCATACAACATCTTCTTATTTTTATTAGCTGGCTAAGGTTTTATATAAAAAAAAAAGCCAAGGAACAATAGTTTAGAACAATAATAATTAAATAACTAATGAAATTACGACTTGAAATACAATGATTAATTATAATTGTCCGATGAAAGTGCCTTTTAGACCGCAGTGATTGTAACATAAACATACAAATTACACTCCGAGAAAATTCCGGAAAACAAGCTGACCCTACTTTTAGAAGTAAATACGGGAACTAATAATAATAATAATAATAATAAAAATAATAATAATAATAATGATTATAATAATAGTAATAATAATAGTAATAATAATGATAATTGTAGTAATAATAATATTGGTATTATAATTATTATAATAATTAAAATAATAATAATAAGGAATCTTTGTTTATAGTTGGAAAACACAGTTAGTCAATGTTAGTAACAACAAACTAACCTTCCCTGAGGTTCTCAATAATTACCTCTATTCCATATTGGTATTATCAAAATAGGTTTTCTATATGTTTTGGATTTTGAATAAAACAGCATAATCACCTGAGGAAAAGGATATTCAACGCGCTAAAAGGCGTTGGCCTCAGTGAATATCAGATTTTTAAATGTCAATAAAACCCCTATATTTACCTGAACAAAAACAGTAATTGTATAGTGTTGTGACAAATATTGCTGTAAACATTTTAGTCAACTATTTTTAGAATACACTTATCTTATAAAATATTATAATATTTTGTAGAAATTTGAAAATATCATATGTTAAGTGTACAGGTTTTTCGGACTTAATCCGAATTCTACTTAGAAAATACATTTTTTTACCTGTTTTTGGTATTTCATTTAATTGCAAAACAGAATGCATTTACACAACAATGCATTTTTTTCATTGATAGCTTATTACAAATTAAAACAACAAAAAGTATAACAACAGGGAATGTCAGTTACTTGACAAAACGAGTGGCAAAATTTTTACCCAACTAACAATTCTAAAACACAGATAAATAGATTTAAAGATTTGATTCTTTACTCTAAAGTTTGTTTTATTACATCCTTTTCTCACACATATATTTCCCTCGGTAAATCATTTATTAATTGCATCCGTATGTTTTACTTATTTGATTGTAATGTGTTTAGGAACATCAAATCAAAATTAATTCAAATGTATGTTAAGGGGTTGACTTTTGCTTAAAACGAAAATGTTAGATTTTTCATATGATTTACGAAATTGTTGTGTTGATAATACTTTTGTTGAAAAATCAATGCAATTAATACGTCATCGGAATTGTTTTAGAAGCTACATGATTTATTATAAAATAGAATATTGTGAGTTGCTTATTTGTATTCCAGTTGATGCCATTTTAACTGCTTTCATAAGTACATTTTAGTACCAACATACTAGTACCAAAAAAATTGCCGAAAAATTTCCTTTGGGAATGCTCGCAGGACGGAGAGCAACTAGACACAATACTCAACACATAATATGAAAATGTAACAGCCAACTTAATGAATACAGTAAATACTCATTTCTAACTTGTTTAACTGTGGACATGGTGGATGTAAACTATGTGATGACATATTTATATAAATTTGAATAATTGAATACCAACTAGATAAATAATGACAAAGCAATAACTGCCATACTTGTAATGTCATTTAAGAGTCAGATGTCACTTGACGATAGCAATAATAAATTATTGATTAAATGGAATTTTAATTACAACGAAAAAAGTACGATGAACAATGTTTTAAAAGTGTTTTAATTTAACAGATGGCCAAACATGTTTAATGTTTTATAGTGATGAACATGAGTGACGCTAAGTTTCGCTTAACTTTTGACATAAATCAGTTACTGGTACGGTCTTAGATACAATGGATGGAAAGAAAAACATTGACAGCAATTAAATAACGGAAAAAAAGTTACTCTACCGCCTTCCTCTTTATCAATCCATGATGTATGTTTGCAAATATATAAAAATGTAATAATCCGCTTACCAAAATAACTGCGACAAAATTTTCCTTGTGGATGCTCTTGCGACGGAAAGCAACCAAACACTATACTCAACACATAACATGAAAAAATCAACAGCCCACTTGACAAAAACTGTGCATACGACATGATGAATTGTCTAACTGTTGATGAAATATGTATATGTGTTAAAAAAAATAAGTACCATAGATATAAGTAGTGTAATATTTGGGTTGTTGAGAAGTCACGAACAACATGACATAGTGTTATTAAACTACAAACAGGATCTACAATTAATTATGTAACAACAATTCTCATAAAGAATAAACACCTGGTATTATGTATCAAAAATTTTAACAAACAAAAACACCTGGAAGGATGTAAATGCAAAAATAATGTGGGATATGAACGAAAAATTTAACACAGACCAATAAAAACGTCAAGTTTCAATGTTTCCTACAACCTTTATATAAAATGCAACAAAAATTATTTCACATTTTTATGTTAAAAAACTGTTGTTTAATTATCGTGTTAATAACATTTGTATATCATGTACATGTTTTAGCAATACAAGCAAAATGAAGACATGTGTTTATTTCAAATTATAAATCAATTATACAAACTGTCTATGTCTGTTCCAAGTCAGAGCCTGTACTTCAGTGGTTGTCGTTGATTTCATGTCTGTCATATTTGTTTTTCGTAAATGGTTTTGTTATATATGAGGCCGTTAGTTTTCCCAATTACAGTGTTTCATATTTGTCTTGTCAGGGCCTTTTATATCAGACTATACGGTATGGTTTTGTTCTAAGTGTTGAAGGCCGTACGGTTGCCTTACATCCACTTCATTTGATCTTTGGTTGATAGTTGTCTCATTGGCAATCATAACACATCTTCTGATTTTTCTATTGACAATTAATTCGAATCCGTATGACAGCGAAAAGAATGTTATTGTAGTGAGGTAAGAGGTTTTTTTTCTTGCTCTGTGTTGAAGGCCTCTGCTCACTGTAACTTTGAGATGAAGAATAGCAATAAACGCGCTGTTCTGTTGCTTTTTGCTGTGCATGTACTGATTATGTGTCATGGATGGGTACCTCATATCCTTTGTTTCCCATTATATTTTATTGTTTTTCAAAAAATATTTCAATCAATACCGTTGTTACATTATTACATAACTATTATATAAAAGAATAAATAAAAAAAAAGAAAAAAACAATTTGGACAAAAATCTTTATTTTCATTGCCAAAAACAGAAATATATGTAAATGTCTATAAACAATAAAAAACAAAGAAAAATATGTTTTAAATTACTTTAAAAATTATATATTCAATCAGAGGTGTACCGTATCAGTAACCGTGGACGAAATCGACGAATTGATTTTACGATATTAGTGGTTATATTCCCAATAGGCTCTGTTCAATTTTGACCGAAGTGATGTGAAGAATCCATATGATAATTGTTTACCCTTCTGTATTTGAAATAAATGATATATTAATGTATCACACAGAATGCAAATGATATATAATATCTTGATAGGTTAAATATAAAAGTATGTTTGCCTTTTTGTGTTGTAGACATGATACATTCGGTCTGAAAAATCCAATGATATTATTGCCTTTGAATTATTTTTGATTAAAGGTTAATTGATAACTATGAATCCGTCGTTACCTGTGATAGTGGACCGAAGTGAAATACATCATTGTTCAAATACCCATTGTTTTTTTTTTAATTAAACAACAGTTAAATATACGGCTTATATATGCCATCAAGTATTTTAACATTAGCAAATTACGGCATTAACAATACGAAAAATCACTATCACTTAAACACATTCCGTAACATTTGAAATCTCTATTTAATTGGCTGACAAGGGCTGAACAATAAACAACTCATTAAAAGTGCACCAAAAATGATATATGAACATTTTTTCTAATTTCTGTTGAAAAAGATAAAACAAAGCAAAAAGTTGTTAAGGAAACATTTTTCAAATTAACGTATTATTCAAACCATGATACAGTATTGTATACCTTAAAACGACAAAGTCGCCTTACATTTCATCTTCGTTTATCAGATTCCTTATCAGATACAAAACTCTGCCTGACTGAACAGATGAAAACTCAAGGGAACTCATTTTGTTTGCCATAAAAACGTATTTTGAATAAAAACTATATTCATTTTAAAATAATATGGAATTTACTTTTCTTTAATATTTTTTTATTTTATCAGATTCATAAAATTTGCGGGAAATCGTGTGGTGTTCCTTGTTAATATATTACGCATAGTCCCGAGACAAACGATTCCGAAAAAAATTGTGGAAGGCACAAATAAAGCTACCGATTTTTGGATTCATCAAAATATTGACTTTTACTGATTTTTATACTGCTTTTCCTATTATCACTTAAATCTGGTACATGATAAAGCAAAGTGATCTTATGCAGAATGTTTGGTAGCATATGACCTGAAAATGTCAAACGGAAGTGACCTTGAGTAAACAAAACGTAGCCACTTTTGCACCTCTTTCATGGAAAAAATACTTAGAAACCTGTTTCAGATCGGCATTCATAAACCAATCATTTGACACCAGTAGTGACCTTCTTTAAATTTGAAGAAAACAAATAAAATCATTTCCTTTATTTCATAGAAAATAAAAAGGAAACTATATATTTTTGGAATTAGTGTGAATTTCGTCATATATGAAATCAGATGTGATATTTTCTTAACCGAAAATAGCAAATTATCTACCTTATTTCATGCAAAGTATATAAAACCTATGTATTTTAGGAATCAGTATGGAGTAACCTTTGGTTTGACACCAGTAGTAACTTTGAGTTAACTAGTAGTAACATTTTATAAATAATTTAGAAATTCTATGACGAAAAGACCTTCAATGATTCTCTGGACAATTGTTTTCTTTTTAATTATCATAACTATTAATATTTTTCTTCCTCCGCCACACTTTTTCTTGCGTAGTATTTTTGTTTTGCAATATATTTGGTATATGATATCGAGCATTTATTGTGCTATTGAAACTCAAGCTGTTTAGCTTAATCCCTACTTTTGTCAAAATTTATCATCTGCCCTATCACTGGTTTTGCTTGATCTCTTCCGTAGCACAAATAATATCGACAAAATTCTGTTACAAAATGTATAAAACAGTTTGTCAATAACTTAAAAATTGAAGTCAAGGTCAAATGTCGAGGTCGTGTTTTATATTTTGACCTTTGCTTGTGAGTGTAAATTCTCTGAAACTATAAAATATAGATACAAATGAACTAGTGCACAATGTTTGGGTTATTGGGATGAACTAATGATGTATTTGGTCCGAACATTTCAATGACATCGTATAGGACTTGATGTAATGTAAGTTGTTTTCAATTTAGCAGAAATGTTTTTAAAGTATAGGTTTAATATTAATTTGAGGTGAAGTAAAAATAGTCTTTATAACATAATAAGGTATTTCCACCTTTCCGTGGAAAACCTTTTGATTTTGTTCGAATTGTTATATTTTCTTCTTCCTGTTTCTTGTGTGTACTTTTTGTTTCATAACATATCGCTTAGATATTTGGTATATGTTATTGGACAGTTTATAACTTTGACACAATACTAAACCGAAGAGTTATCTAACCGAGCACTGTAAGGTATCTCGCGTGCACATCTTCGTCGCAATGAAAAAAGAAATCGACATTTTTTTTTTCGAAATAACTCATTTCAATGACATAAGTCATGAGCCGTAAGTGAAAGAGACCTATGGTTTTTAGAAATAAGGTCCTTGGTTAACCAAAAGGAAATAAATTTCAAGGTTAAAGATCGAGGTCATTTTCTAATTTTTGCCCTTTGCTTGTATATGCATCTCCTTTAAAAAAATTTTAAAAGCGACATTCAAAAGATATAATTGGGTTGTTGAGAGGAAGACATGGAATATTCGGTCCAAAGCTATCTGCTGACTTCTTATAGTTAGTGCCCCTCAAATGGTTAAGTTTTAAGTTAATTGATCATTATCTCATTCTGCTACATGATAAAGCCAGAAGGGTCATTGTAAATGGTTGGTTGACATATGACTTTGCGAAACAGCAACTGGAAATGATCTTGTGCAAAATGGAAGTAGACATATTTACTCTTTTTCCAGGAAATAGTATGAAGAAACCAAATATTTTAGAAGCAGCACAAAGTAACCTTTATATAATACTGTGTGTGACCTTTTGTAAACCGGAAGTACCTAAGTATCTCCGTGATTTGAAAGAAAAGTACGGAGAAACCATGTATTTTTTTGGAATCACTGTAAATTAAGCACTCTGATACATGTATGACCTTCTGTAAACCGGTAGTAGCTGATTATCTCCCTTATTTCTTGTGAAAGTACATAGAATCTCTATATTTTCAGAATTAGTGTAATTAATCCTACCATTTGATACCGGATATGACTTTGAGTAAATCGGAAGGTGTAATTTGTTCATTCAAAATTACGACTGACTGTATATACAATGTAGTTTCGAGATCAGTGTATGAAAATATATCTTCTGAGACCAAAAGTATCTTAGAATTACTATTTTTCACAATAGTTTTCCTATCAATTATTGAAAACTCTATTGGGGAAAGACCTTCAATTCTTCTCTGCAAAATTGGTTTCTGATTGTATATTCATAGTTTGGTTGTTTACAAAAAAAACATGCAACTGATTTGCTTGCTACGTGTTTAAAAACATATTAGACAACGTCAGTTTCATAACGTTTATTCAACTATTGTTTATTGTTTTAAGGAATTCGAACTGTCATGACACTTAGTTGACAGCTGTCCGCATTGTACCAACTGCATTCACTATTTCTCATATGACAGAGTGCGTTGTACGAGAAGCAATGTATAGCAAAGAAAAAATTTGGATCAGTCCAATCCGGCGTCTTGCAGTAACTAGATGTTACGCTGATATCCTGAAAATATACAAAACATACCAAGTTTAAGTTAAATCGTCTTACTCGATATAACAAAAGTTAAAAGATATTTAGTAAGAAAAAAATCATTAATACAAACTAGCCCCACTGCAAACACGAGACGGAATATAAAAACAGAAATTCAAACTATTAATTCGAAGACAAACTGCTAATTATTTTGTTAAAAAAAGAATAACGACGAAAAGACAACACGAGTCTACAAAATACAACACAGAATCCTTGAGTCTGAGCAACACAAGCCCCTAAAATATCAGGGGGGAGGGGGGAATCAAGTGCGCTTTATATGCTACACGTTTGTGATATAGTAAATACATGAGCAATATATATGACAGACACATTGAATAGATTGATTGTTATACTATAGCTGTGGAACGCCACATTAAGCACCATTGGCTGTATAATAGAGGCTAGTTTTTATTTGTGGAAGAAGTTGGAGTGCTCAATAATAACAACCAACCTTCTGAAGGAAAACTGAAAATCTTATGCAATTAAAATCGAACAAGTAAACTTACCGAGAGCGGCACTTTGAGTTGGAGAATCAAATTTAAATGTTATACTTACCGTGCATCCACGGTTACAGTTTCTTTTATATGTAGTTCTACCAGTCCCTAACAAGTAATCCCGAATCAATGGCATTTTCCCAAGGTCTTTGACCTTATAAACAATATCATAAGAAAAGCTTCGAAGTTCACCAGCTGCTGTTTGAGCTCCTAATTAAAAGATTTGATGGATTCATTGGTTAATTGCTACTTAACAAACGGCGGTATAGAATAATGCATAGTCTTTCAATTACAAGTTGTTAATAGGAAATGGATATGCCTATTTCACTTAGCTTAAACGCTATGTGATGTGTTTGAAAACATTCCTAATGTGCTTATCCCATGCCAGGATGAGGTTATTCAGTGGTTGCCGTTGGTCAAATATCTGTTATATTTGTTCATTAATAATTGTTTTTGCGTAGATCATATCAGGCCGTTCATTGAAGTTTTTTTTTTTGGTCACAGTTTGTCATAGCGGGACTTGTGTATACCTTTCTACCCACAATGGGTTTTGCTCATTGTTAAAAGCCATAAGGTGATTTAAATGTGTCAGTTGGTCCTTGATCAATATTTGTATCAATGAGAATCGTATATTATATCCCTATGTTATGCTGTACTGATATTTGGCAATATGAATGGTAAGATGTTATTTTATTGAATGTTTCTGTTCCATAGCTTTATGTACAGAAGTGTCATTGAGAACACAATAATGACTCCTGTTTTGATGGTATGAAACTGTAAATACCCAACTCAACCTATCTTTTATTCGTTAGTTGCCTCAATATACTTGTTAAAAGTAAGTATGTCAAATTGAATTGATTGTGTAAGTAAACATTACTGTATGTCTGCTTTAAAGCACGAAAGTAGATGACATCTCGTCATCTTTAAACATATGATTCCGAATTTAATAAATCACAATAACTTCATTGATATAAATAATGCATTAAAATAAGATGTTAAATATTCTGGTCAACAAGCTTTATTCTTTTCTTATGAAAGTACAACAAAGTCAAAATGTCCAGACTGCTTGTCAGGAATATGACAGTTGTTTTCCATTCGTTTGATGTGTTTGAGCTTTTAATTTTGCCATTTGATAAGGAACTTTCCGTTTTGAATTTTCCTTGGAGTTCGGTATTTTTGTTATTTTACTTTTTCAACATAAAGTGTTTGATTTTAAAGTTGATACGACGTTGAACTAGTCTTAGAGTCTTAATTCTGAAATGACGTTATACAAAGTACAGAAACACGACTTCAATATTTTATACAGGTTCAAGTTATTTTCAATTTGTATAGCATATTCATTCCGTGCTCTTTTCATAGATTGTGACAGAACCAAAAGCGACTATTAACCCATATTAACCCATATTTGACCTTCAGTGAACACCTCACATTGTGACAAGAGGGGAAATTACTTCCTTCCAAGATCACTCGTATTTATCCGTAGAAATGAGTAACAGGGTACTTGAATTTTTAGTTGTAAGTATTGGAGTTTTTTTTTCAAACGCTCTCGTCGGTTTTTGCCGTTTATAGTCTTGTTTTTCCTTTTTCCGGAACACATCTTTTTATTCCTTTTTTTACTTTCATATTGTTTTGTGGATAGGAGCGGGGTGGACCTATTGTTTATTTTTTTTCGACTTTTATTATTGTCCTATAGGCATCTTGTCTCCTTTTTTGGACCTAAATAAAGGGATTAATTGTAGTCTGAGAAATCGACCTCTGTTATAATATATATGTCTCTCCAAAATACCTGATAAGACATATTCTTCTCCAACAGTCAGGCTGAGTGAACAAAGGGCGCCATTCCCTGATGTCTCAACTATAACCTCGTTGCCTGTCTTTATCTGGGCGGGTCCCTTTAATATAAAATACTCTTGAATGATAATACATTAAGATTATATGTGAGATGGAATGTGAAAAAAACGCACACAATTAAAAATGTTACTTCAGTAATTGCCATATTTGGCCCTGAATATTATTTGTTTCAAGATAAAAATGTGAAGACGCATGCGCGCTTTGTTTCCAATCCTACGTACATATAACGCTAAACGTAAGATTTTAACAAAAACATATTTTGACTATACATTGTACCATGCATACTGTATGTATTACCAACTATACAAAGTTTTCTATCGGCTTTTTTGTCAGATTTATTTGCTTTATGAAAAATTAACAACAACAAAAAATGTAATGGCGTCTTTGTAAAATTTATTCGTATGATTGTTTGAATTTTTTAGTCAGTAATGTTGTGTATATGTCTATGATATATGTTTACACATCTTAGCTGGTTGATCCCTATTATTCTCCCATTAACCATAAATGTTTGTTCAGGTTACTCAACGAATTTTGTCGATACAAGTGGGAGGTTACGCTAGCTATATAACCAGTTATAACCCACCAATTTCCGAAAAATGCCTGGACAAAGTCACAAAAAAATCAAAACAACACGTTATTAACTGGAAGCGTCCGACGGTCTTTTCTGGATTAATCTTCATCATGTTCATGAGGAACGCTCAAAACAGAATATATCAAAGCCGACGAGCTACAAGAATCGAAACAGTTAGAAAGCAATATGAATAAAAAGTACCTAAAAACGTAGCCAAATTCATCTTAGGTCAACTTTGCCTGAGGGAATAAAACCTTATTTTCTTATGATTTTAGAATTCATCAACGGACAATGTTACATAGGTTTGTTATAAATCAGGAATATGAAAGTTGTTGTTCATTTGTTGGTGGATTAGGTTTAACACTTGATATTGTTTTAGTTTGAGGACTTCCCCTTTTTCATTTAACCTTTGAGTAAGGTATTTTTGTTAATACTTTATTTTCCTTTTTAGTCATTGGTTTATCTATGATTCATTGTGATAATGGTGTGAAATCCTAATTTGGAATTTTGACAAGAAATAGGGGCCATAATAGGACCTTATCGAACCTATCCCTTTTATGACCTTGACAACTATTGCACATGTGTATCGCAATTTACAGTGACAGAACATTTTCTGTTGTAATATTTTTCTTTTTTTTTTTCATTAACTCTTTTTCTTAAGGTAAAAATTCTTTGGAGTTATTAAGATATAATTTATTGAATACAGATCATAATCCAAATTATTACACAAAAAGTCTTCAACAATTCTATTGATTCTTTAGAATTTCTAAAAAAGGTTCGACAGATGAATTTGAAATTTTACAGGAGTAAATGCTTCCAGAAAAATATTTCCATAAACGAACACCAAAACGTTTTGATTGGTTGGAAACGTCCTAAACAATTCATATTCAACCGATGACGTCACGTTATTTTCATTTGGAGTACGAACAATGCAATAACGCAATAAACAAATATTACATCTGGTGGGGTGTTGTCTTATTGGCAATCATATCAGTTTTCTTATTTTTACAAACGCTTTGCTATTTTACCTTCAATTTCCTAATGATAAGTATAGTATATTTATACACAGCGAAATTATCTGCTCCCTCATCTTCAGGTGGTCCATCTATTTTAATGACACTGATCACCGTCCCACGTATTACTGAAAAAAGGTAATCAGTATTGATATAGAGATATGCACACACACACACACACACACACACACACACACACACACACACACACACACACACACACACAAACAACTTTCCGATTGAAAAAGGATAGTTTAACGCTATTTGATATTTTTTTTATGTTTATACGTTAAACGTCTAATTGCTTAATGCTATATAACATGTATAACTTTTAAAGAATTCATAATAAAAACAGTCTGATCAGTTCCAATTGATAGTCTTCAATAAATAGTATAATATACATATTTTTTACACTTTCTTCAGGCTGACCTTCATTAGTTCTAAGTACATATTTCTGGTGGTTTGAATTTTTGTATTTGTGTAGTCAATTGGACGAAAGTGTGTATTTATACCTTCCGCAGAGCAAAATAGAGGCCTCTGATGCAGAAAAGGTGTAGGGGCCTAGTGTATTCCCAAACATTTATATTTGTTTGAGGCAATACGAAAAAAAAAAACATGTCATAGGTGATTACATTGACTCAAATAGGTAAGTATTTCACGACTTTGTCATAATCCTTAGAGTATGCTATCAATGTTATCTCGATCGATTGATTGTCGTTTGTTGATGGTATTGTGTTTAGTACGTTATGCATATTCAGGACAAATTATCAACCAATCAAATAGACCGGTTCTACAAAAATATGCTGGCGTAGTAAAGTGTTGAAATTTCAAGTGTAAATGGTAAATGAGTGCAAGATGGAAAAGAACAAATGTTGCGCTGCAATTGGAAAATTATGGACACCTCAAAGATTGGTTGCAGTATTTTTTTAACGTGACGAAAGCATGACATTCCTACTTCACAAAGTGATGGATTTATGGTTCCCATATACATGCTGGCCGCACAGTCAAACGGACTCTCTTTAAAATGGGTTTTAAAACAAGAAATGAGAAGTACAGGAACTACCACATTTGTATACTCTGATTGTTCCTGTCAAAAGTCAGGAGCCTGTATTTCAGTGGTTGTCGTTTGTTAAATTAGGTTGCTAGTTTTCTCGTTTGAATAGTTTTACATTTGTCATTCTTGGGCCTTTTATATCGGTATGGGCTTTGCACTTTGTTGAAGACCGTACAGTGAATTATAGTTTTTAATTTCTGTGTCATTTGGTCTGTTTTGGAGAGTTGTCTCATTGGCAATCATACCACATCTTATTTTTATATTAAGTCGACGCTTTGAATACGTTATTTTGACACTGAAGGTTTCCCAAAGATGTCTTCGAGCTACATGTATACTAGTTTAGAAAACCCCATTATCATCTTTACAGGTCTAAGATAGACCGACTGTATTGTTATATACCCGAAATTAAAAAAAAAAAAAAACAATTGTTGCGTTGGTGTTTTTTTTTTTTTTTTTTTGTTGTTGTTTTTTTTTTTTAAATATTTAATGAGCTGTCGAGAAATTCTTGATTGAATGACCAATTGCACAAACAAGAATAGTCAGTAAGGGAAATACACGAATATCAAAGTCATTTATTATCTTTTTATCATATAATTTTGCTATGATATTGAAACGAGAAAAAGTAGAATACTCAATTGAATAAAGACCTGTAATATATTTGTGTAAATGTATTGCTTGTCGTTTGGTTTGATTTGTTTGCTTTGGAGATTTTTTCTCGCATTTTTATTTGAATGACTAATTGGATGATTTACAAAAGTTAGACAGGAAATGTACAAATGTAACAGTTGTCTATGGTCTATATATAAAATTGGAACGACAAATAGAATTAAGAATTAACAATTGAATAAAAAGTAATTTTAACTTATTAATCATGTGTTGATTTCTCAAGTTTTCTTTTGATTTGTTTTATTTGATTGTTCTCGATGTTTTTTTATATCGCTCATTTGTTAGCGTTTCATTGATTATGTAGTCATTCCCGTAACCACGTTTCAATGCAGTATGGCATTAAAGAATGCGCGCCTTTACTTTATCAAGATTGGCGCACTTTTTTAACCTGCTAACATGCAGTTATACTGTCCTATACTCTGTTTATCGTTACCACGAGTTGGTGACCGACCGAATTAGACTTAACACCAGTTTGGTATTTACATGAGCAACACGACAGGTGCAACGTTTGAAGATGATCTGTTTACCCTTCTGGATCACCTGAGATCAACCCAGGTTTTTTGTGGGCTTCGTGTAGCGCAGTCTTAAGTTTTTTATTCTGTGTTTTGTATTCTGAATGTTTTTCGGTCGTTTTTTCTTTTTTAACCCATAACATTGCCCGTTTCTTATCGACTTATGAACTTGAATATCCGTTTTTGGTATCTTTTGCCTCTCTGTTCTATAATAAAAAGAAAACTGAGGATTTTCTACCCAAAGAATGGAGTACCTTAGCTGTATTAGGCATTTTTTTCTGAATTTTTCTGAGGGTCCTCAATTCTCTTCAACTTCGTTCTTTATTTGGCCATTTTAACCTTTTTGATTCAAGCGTCACTGATGAGTCTTTCGTAGACGAAACGCGCGTCTGGCGTACAAAATGTTAATTCTGGTATCTATGATGAGTTAATTTACTATCACTGGGTCGATGCCACTGCTGTGAAGGGTTTCTTCTCCCAGAGTATCACCAGCCCACTAGTCAGCACTTATTTGTTGACATGAATTATCATTGATATCGTCATAATTATAAATTAACTACTGTTTACAAAACTTTGAATTTTCCGAAATACTGAGGACTTTCTACCTATAGATTACCTTGGCTGTATTTGGCAGAACATTTAGGAACTTGTGGTCATCAATGCTCTTCAACTTCGTTCTTTATTTGGCCATTTATTATTTTTTTGAATCGAGCATCACTGATGAGTCTTTTGAAGATGAATTTATTTCCAATGACAATGCCGTTTTACCAGCAGCGACTGTAACATAAACATACAAATAACACTCTGAAAAATTCAGAAAAAAACATGATATTGACTGTACTATTGAATGTAAATATATTTTTTGTCGTAAAAAACGTCAGCGTATAAAATGTTATCATTTTGAAAATATCTTATGTTTGGTGGACATGTGTTTGCGAACTTAATATATTATGGGCCTGGTTTTTTTTTGGGGGGGGGAGTGGGGGGGGGGGGTAACCCATATTATTGCAAACCAGATAGTATGTAATAAAATTGAGAATGGAAATGGGGAATGTGTCAAAGAGACAACAACCCAACCATAGAGCAGACAACAGCCGAAGGCCACCAATGGGTCTTCAATGCAACGAGAAACCCCCGCACCCGAAGGCGTCCTTCAGCTGGCCCCTAAACAAATATGTATACTAATTCAGTGATAATTGACGTCATACTAAACTCCAAATTATACACAGGAAACTAAAATTAAAAATGATACAAGACTAACAAAGACCAGAGGCTCCTGAATTGGGACAGGCGCAAAAATGCGGCGGGGTTAAACATGTTTTTTTTTGATATCTCAAACCTCCCCCTATACTTCTAGCCAATGTAGAAAAAACAAACGCGTGCATTATAATACATTCCCCCAAGTGGGACCTTTTTACTTATTGAAACTACACAACAGAAAAAATAACAACGCGGAATGCCGGTTAATAAGAAAATACGAGTAGCCAAATTTTGACACATTTAAACAGAAAATTTAGGTTCTCCCATACATAAATTACATTTATGAAACAAAAAACAAATAGTTTTGAATTAATATTAATTTGAATGTGAATATATTCCTTTCTCTAAAGGCTTTACTATTCCATCATTTTCATATACATATACCATTTCTCTCTCCCGGTTACTCATTTAATCAATTGCGTCATCATTATGATTTTACTCTTTTGATTGTTACGTATTTATATAGGTAGGTTTATGTTAAGGCTGATCTATGCTTTCATCAAAAATTGATGGAATCTTTTTTTTTAAATATATACTTTATCAAAAACTTTTTAAACACTACAAGATTACTGTTAATAAAACAATTTGAGGCGCTTCTTTATATTAAAATCCATGCCAATTAAGTGTGTCTTTTATATATACACTTACCAAAATAACTGCGACAGAATATGTCTTGAGGATGCGCGAAGGACGGTGAACAACCAGACACATCACTCAACATATAAAATGAACAAAAAAACAGCCCACTTGACAAATACAGTAAAAACGACATGCTGGATTTTATAACTGTAGATGGAAAATGAAGTGCATTGAGCTATTTATACTCGGTTACATAATTGAATACCAAAGATAAATAACAACTAAGCAATAAATGCCCCGCTTGTGATGTAATTTCAACGTCAGCTGTCATTCAAAGATACCAATAATAAAATATAAATTAGATAAAATATGAATATCAACCAAAATATTGAAAAATTGCTGAATGTACAATGTCCTTAAACGTGTTTGTATGTAACAGATGGCCAAACAAATAAGTTACACCCAATTAATTGTTCCATCAATGAATAGACACTAAATGTATATACATGTATATCGAACGAAAAATATTTACTGGAATGTATTCACTGAAAATATAAAGCTTTCCTCTTTATTAATACATTATGTATGTTTGCAAATTCAATTAAAATCTACAGACGTTTTGATATCTATAAAATATAGACGCACAAACCACCTACACATCCTATAATCCACTTACCTAAATAACTGCGGCAAAATGTCCTTTGATGATGCTCGAAAGACGGTGAGCAACCAAACACACTATTCAACTCATAAAATGAAAAAAAAATAACAGCCCACTTGACAAAATGTAAATACTAAATTTTGAATTGTCTTTCTGTGGATGAAATATTTATGTATGTTGAAATAATTGAATACCAAAGATATAAGTAGTGTGGATGGATTTGTTCATAAACAACAAACCACAGTAAATACTGTAGAAAAACAACAAAAAGGAACTACATTGAATGAGGTAACAACATCCTCTTAAACATGTATCAGCTTGAATTATGAAACAAAACTCCTAACAAACAAGATTTAATAACTTCGTGTTTCATTGTTACAACAACAAAAAAAGAAA